ATGTATCTTTAAAACTAATGTTCTGAGAGTAGCAATGAGTGCTATTGTAGTTGTAAACATGTCCGGTACTGAACACCATCACGGAAAGTAATAAAATAGTCATCGAAGAACTTGGTGAGGATTGTATTATAATAATGTATACCATCAGAAACATGTGACCAGCACTAACACTGGTGTCAAAACTGAAGTTTGATGAACCGTTACTGAAATATAACCCAAACTTTGTTCTCAAATTCATTTTCACTTCATGTCCCTAAATTTATTAGACAAATTTAAACTGGAATAGAAAAGAGAATTTTGACATGCTGTTTACCAAAGGGACGTTATCCATTATTACAACTTTTTTTTATGGGGAACCAGGAACTTTATTTTCATTGCATGATTATCATGTTGTTTCACAGATCCGTTTTTTTTTTAATGCACTTGTCCTTTTGTCTCTAATAAACCAAGACAAATTGGAAGACGATTAGAAACAAAAGGAACTGAAACTGAAGAGTAACAGGTTGTCAATGAAATCCCAAAAGACAGTTAAACTGAAAATCACTTCAGAGGACTGTGGAAAGAGTAAACTAAATGTGGGTAATGTGGGCAGGAGGGACTTGCTCCATAACTGGGACCTCCAGTGCTGAAAAACATGCAAAACGAAATCAGGCCAACTTTACTCACTCTTTGGCTGACAAAATTGTCCAAATATGTTCACGAGGCAAAGACAAGGTCCTCAGTATTTCACCAGCCAAGATTAAAGTCTCAATTCAATTTTTTTAAGCAGACTTTTCTTCAATACTTTGCACCGGAGAGGGAAGTCAAGTGATATCAACTTGAGGCCAAAGACTAGACTTGTACATGTCCAACCATGGTCCAATGAAAAGACTGACAGCTTTAATGAGTCTGGTGGTTGATATGGAGAAATGTGTACAAGTCAGAGAACTGAGTACCAGACATGCCTGATGTTTCTTTTGGCACAGTTGATTGATGCAGTACTGAAGGGTTGTTGGACTGGTTGTTTCAGGTGCCAGTCAGTCTATTTTCTTGCATTGCATGTTTTTAATACTACGTTTAAATTATTTTCGGACTAGATTTTCTCATGCTAGAAATCACTACAGAATTCAATATGATTTGAATTGTGAGATGGGCCACCTTCGACTTCACACAGACAAGCTGGCAAATAAAGCATCGTCACACGGCAATGTTTGTATCTCCAATGTTTTATTTTAATAATCAGAGGAAATGTGTCAATATTTATGAGGCAAAATTCTTAAAATACAAAAATCACCTCTAATTTCGAAGGGTGATTGAATGATGAGAGTCAATGATGCATTCTGAGGGATGAGATGTCCCAAAGACTAAAATTCGCTCAAAACTTTTGCAAAGTTCCGGATAAATTAGGAGAGCCTCAGCATTGCAAACTACAAATGTACCACGCAGAAATATCAGCTTTTTGCATGTAAAATGTCTTCAATAAGAGGTGACCCACACAATGAAAAATGTAAATGGATGGGCATGTCTTTAACAAATACATTTACATCTTTCCTGCTTAATTTTGATATTTGTCATTGTAAACATTTTCTAAATTTGCCATCCAAACAGATTTTCGTTTCACACCCAACTGTAGTGTCAAACGACACACACACACGATGAGTCATTATTTACACAGTAATGATAATCATTCGTTTCGGTCAACGAGATGATCTGCAGTGTTTCAATGACTTTTATTTGCCTGTGTGAAACACACGCTTGTCGCGACAAAGTAATTCAGTATTTCAAATGTTTTAACTACGTTTTAATTTTTTTTAATTGTTTAGGGATGTATGCAAATCAAATTGTATATGGCAGCAGCATGTGCTAATCCCTTTTGTATCTGAAGCATGTCAAGTACTATGTCATTATCTCGAGCACTATAAAAGCATTACTTGCATTTTCCAATATCTGAACTTGTGATAAAATTCTTTAAATACGAACTCTTTTAACTCTTTCTAAATGCTGATAACATATAAACATAGTAACAGCTGATATACATATTTTATTAAAAGTCACAATTATATTCATATAGGAGTTTCAAAACAGAAGCACAAAGTATAATGGTGAAACTTCTTTGGTTGAGAATTTTTCCATTACGTCAAACTGTTCATTTATGACCACTGGGACAAAAAAATTGAATGCTGGTCATACACTGGGGCAAATGGCACCCTCAGCTTCCCTTTTCTTTGAGAGTACAAAATGGAATTTCAAATCACAACAGACAATTGTTAAATAAACTTTACCTCCATGTGCATCACAACCTTGATTGTCATCTGTGATGTCATGACTAACAGTGTCAAATGTGATGTGATCAATGAAATGAAGTGAGTTGTTTGTCGACCCTGGTCAATTTTTACATTTTTTTTTACAGATTTGAAAAGAGCACAATCTCAGCATTACTGCTGTGAAAACCGCATGCCGGTACCATCTTTAGTTCAAAAATTATGGAAGTCGGAACACCAAGAGATGTAATGAAGTGATGTGATGAAATGGCCCTATTTTGGCCTGAATATCCAAATCAAAGTTCCTGACAAACGACTCATTTAGCTTGATCGCATCACAAACGACCACAACATGCTTTTTTGTTTATAGATGTTAGGTTTGCGGTATCACCATGTGGTCAATTCTCTTTTGTGAATTTGTGTCGCTCTAAAAGACAACAAAACGGTGTCATATGAAATGTGGACTTCTATGAAATCTAGTCTCTTTTATCTTATACATGTACCGGTATGGACACTTCCCCTCACACTTGACTTGTCACTGTCCAAATTATCTCCATTCATTCGCAATAAAACCAAAGAGTCCATTTTTCATAGTCAGAAGTTCAAAGTGTACCGGTTTAGTAATTCAAAGTTTTGAACAGTGCATGTATATGCTTTGTTCATCTTCAGACTACTGAAGACAGACAAAGCATACCGCTTGAAATATTATATAGTCAAAAAGAGATTTGACTACATTGTGCAAGCGCAAACTGCACATCTTTAGACTATCTTCTACGCAAATCTTCAAGTCTTACTTAAGAATTTTTGGTAAACAAGTATTGCATGGTCTACACTGCATCACCAATGCATTCATTGTGAATTGAGAAATTGCACCAAAGCTACGTATACAAATAATTAAAACTTTAATACCCTGTAAACCAAATACATTTGAATGCCAAAAATTGTTCTACTTTGTCAGATATTTTTTTTAAGACCCTGATAAAAAAAAGGCAAGAAAAATACTAACGTAAATATTTCAATAAAAGTAAAAACTGAAACTATAATTTTAAAGCAATATATACCTACTAAATGTTCTACTTCTCTTACTGTTTATTTTCTGGACATATAAATGGCATATTTCATTCACCCTACATGTTGTAATTATAATCATAAAATAGCATTCATTAAAATTCCGAAAGACCAGAAGTAAAAGTTATCTTTCCTAAAGATTCTATCAGCCTTATCACAACTAATTTACATAATGAAATAACACAGATCTGTGTTATTCTTATAAAAACTTAAGGAGATATTTAAAAAAAAATCATTATGTTCATACTTGTAAAGACATTCAAAGTGGATATGTTTTAACAATATGGATATGATTTAACAATGGTCTTGTAAATACATTAATCATACAGTCAACAGTTCCACAAAATTTTTCAACTTAAGCAGGCCTGTAGAGGGCGCCAGACTATTGAGCTGTGAATTGATGTTTCGAAGGCACTTGTGAAAAAAATTGAAATAGATTTCATTCTCTCAGGACCTGACTTGGGTTTCTGCATTGCACATTACACAACTGAGATTGAAAGACATTATATTTCAGGCATTGTCAATAATTGTCAATAAAATTAAAAAAAAAAAAAATCGCTAAAATAAAAAAAACATTAAAAAAATATATATAAAAAAAATAGCATGTGCTGTACTGTCTACAGTGAAACAGAGCAATGATGTCAGTATTGCTTTCTTGAAATGAATTCTTACTCTGGCTGTAACACTTTCTACTTTAAAGAGGTTGTGGAATGCTCGAAAACATTTCCGTCATTTTTCGGGTATATGTAGCCTAAGGTGTAATGAAATAAAAACGACTTTTGTTTCTGTCATAAAATGAGTACAAAAGGTACTTTTGAGAGCTGTTTTTCAAGTCCTGTCATGCCTGTTTCGACCCGAACGTGCAATTTGTGTAAAAGTCGTCATTGCGGGCAGCAAACAAAACACAGTAAATCGTGACGTAATAAACAGGACTCCCGATGCAGAGTAGCATAAACGAGTGACGAAAAATTTTGAAACTCAGCACATGCATAGAGCAACTCTTCCTAAACATGCCCAAGAAATTTCATGACTATAGGTCAAAGGGTTTTGGAATTATGGCTAATTAATTATTCATATGTATGAATGGCAATTCTGCTCGGTGTACACGACGTATATGCGAAAATTCAGTTTTCACGGCGCGCAGCGCCGGAAAATTTTTTCGCTTCGGGCCAACCCGTGGTCCGATTTTTATGTTTTTGGTATCAAAAGATGCGCAAAGCTCGAGGCTAAAAAGTCATAACAGCTCGGGTCGCGACAAAATTTTTTTTAGAAGCTATCGCGGAAAATGTTGAGGGGGGGCGGATTCCGCCCCCCCCCCCCCCCCCCCCGGCCCCTTTAGGGTTAAAGGAGATTCAAACATGTACAAAAAAGTTTGGTCCATACAGCAAGTAGAGGGGAAAATGTAAAAATTGAGAGAAAATTGCCAAAGACGTTGACTTGCATTTTGGCTTCAAGCATCAGAACAACTCTGAAGAAAAATGTTTTATTGAAGGGGATAACAGTGTGATGAAACAGCTATAGCGTGTAATGTAAATCCTTGCCATCTAGCCCGTTTTAAACATCATGTTTGCAACTGCTCCATCACCCTCTTGTCCCCATTTACATAATACCTTTTCGATCAAATGCCATAAAAAGATGAAAAATTGAAACGATTTTGTTCTACCATTTTAATCCATGTTCATGCCACTTTTCTATGGAGCATGTCGCGAGCAGTGTGCTACACATCTCCTTATACAGAGATCATTTCAGTGGTTCTCAAGCAACCGGTTGTTGTACCGGTAGGTGTGTGTGAAATGCATGTGGTTTTAGCGCAGGCTTTCGCAACCGGTTTTAACGTTGCCGACCAGTATTAAACAACACTTTAAAACCATCTACATGAAAGGCTCTGTCCATGAACTTTCTACGGTATTTATGAATCAGAAGTAATGTTACACTAAACTCATCAGATTATTGTCTCGTACGTAGTAGTAGTTAATCATTAATGCACACACTTCGCAACTGTGAATTTGAGCAAATTTATGTGCACCTCTCCTACAACTTGTTACTGTTTATTCCCAACCTAAATAGCCCCAAACCTGTATTGGTAAATTTACTGTTTTGACTTATTCTTATTTAAAAACCATCTGCCTTACTTTTCAGTGTGACGTACCCCAATGCGTTTTTGGTTTAAAAAGGTTAATAACCTCTTATTTTATTTGATTGTCTAGCTTATTTTATTGCACACCCAGTTTTTTCCTTGCGGATATAATTGCAGCTATCTTTGGGGAAATTTCAGATTTCTGAGACAAATACATGTACATGTATGTTAAAAAATTTAATAAATTCATGAATATGTTTGGTTAGTGAATAACATGCATACCGTATGAATCACGGTATTAAACAAATGATTAAAATATCAGTTTACTTGTATTTAAAGTGATGTGGTTCCAAGAATGGTGAGCTCATCAGGAGTTGCAAGTGGTCATCTGGAATCCTCCTCACACCTTGGTAGGGATTGGATCAAGAAACTCCATCTCATGGGACATCATCTGTGTAAACAAAAACAACAACCACAGAAATGTTAAATATAACCCTGAACAAGGCTAAGAGGCAACCATGTTTATTAAGAAAACGGTAACAAACCCAGCAAAAAGTTTTCTCTTTACAAGCAAACGGCACGTGTAAATAGATCGTGTAAGTTGACCCCAAGAACGTACAAGAGTTTACGAGAAAGCAAACTTCCGGGCACCTCGAATACAAACTCGAGCGTGTAAAGCAAGTAGTTTTCTTGAAATAGTTTGTTTTGACGCTGTTCTTTTTACTGAAAGGTGCAAAATGTAGATAAAAAGTTTAAAAAAAAAAAAAAAAAAAATTTCATTTCAATTTACAAAATGTGAACGTTATATCAAAATACGGAAAAGGAGAGCGAAAAATGTTTAGATACGACATACGTACGTTATTCGCCATTGTTCTTGTTCACGCCACGGGCCAGTCTTTCTAAAACGTATACAATATGCAGTGTAAGGCGGTAGTCACATGTAATTTATGTACATGTGTACGTACGTTCACGCCCGCATTCGTCAGTGCCAGAGGAGGCACTACAGTGATTTTGGGGGCCGGGCTTTCTCTTCCCGACAATGAGCCAATCACATTGCAACCTGACGCTCAGGTAAACAAGTTTTTCCTACTTTTCTTCAATAATCTAGACAGTCATGCATGTCTTCATATATTTTTAAATTAGGTTTGATTTTATTATCCATATTTATGGCCGTTTCATGGTTCAAATCTTCATGAAAACAAAGTATTATGGAAAACAAAATCAACCACATGTAAAAGTCCTATACCCGGCGGCTCGGAGGTGCCCGGAAGTTCAATCGTGACGAGAGACTTACGCGGTCTACAGCAGCATAATGAAAATTAGATTCATTCTAGCACTAAATTCAGCCGTAGGGGCTCTCTGCATGAACAGTAGATCAGTGGCAGTTTGTGACCACTTTCGAAACACTGAGTGCACGTATGGGTTTGCGTACCTAGACTTTGTATTCACAAGTGTATTGTTTGCACATGCCCGTGGCGTCATCCACAATGCGTTGGAATGTCCCTCCCAGTGGCAGGCATGCAACTTGGAATTTAGAAAAAATGAGGAAACTTCAAACCACACAAGACTTTATACAGTGTTTTCCAAATTGTAATGGCATTCATGAGAAGTAAAAAACGAGGATATTCGCTCTTTTCACACTCCGCCATTGGGCATGCAGAGCCTCGATCTGGCAACGTTACACAATTAAAATAGCCGGTTTAAGTGATCTGAACCCCGACACGGGAATCACTGAACCAGCTATATTTATTGTGTAAAGTTGCCAGATCGAGGCTCTGCATGCCCATGGCGGAAGTGTGAAAAGAGCGAATCAGCGGATCCGAGGAAAAGTTGCATGCCTGCAGTGGTCTCCCCCAACTTACCCTCTGTAACTGTTGATCAAGGGGTAACTAGGTACTAGGTTTCACGCTCGCAGTTTCGTCTCATGAAAATACCTCAAACGCTATAATTTCAACTAGAACACTTGGTCCTAGTGCCAGGAGTCCAAAGGTGGAACTGCCAACATGTTTCTCCCAGACTTTCACTGGTGACAGCTTAACTTTGCTGTGGCATCTTATGTGAGGAATAGATGTCAAATGTAGGTTTCTTCTATGTCAGAGGCAGTAGGTGTAGCTGGAGGATGCTTGAGTGGAACTATCACTTTGATTCCACGCATGAAGGAGTCACGAGCTGCAACTATTGTAGACCTTTATTCCCTACTTTTGTTCTGTTTTGTTTATATTGAAGTAAACTCCACTGTGTTACCCTTGCAAGATATTGAAATTTCTAAAGACTGCCTTGAGAGGTCCCATTCAGTGGCATAATTGAAAGGGGATGGGGGTGGCATGGTGGAGCACAGCAAACCCCTCAACCCCCCCCCCCCCCCCCCCCCCCACACACACACACACACACATTCAAACACACTTCCCCCTGCTGCCTGTGCCCCCTTCCCTCAGAAGTTGGAAAAGGCAAAAAGGAATTTTTATTGTCAAAAACTAATGAATGCCCCCTCTAGAAAAGGAGCTCCCTTAGTGCCCCCTTTACAAATTTAACCCCAATTCTGCTACTGGTTCCCTTGTCCCTATCATTGCCTATCTGGGCTACACTCACATTGACAGCTTGATTCTTGCCCTTGTTCCTGATCGAGCACGATCTCTTGGAATGCTGGTACTAAATAAAAAAATAAAACAGGCAAAATGACTTCATTAATTGACAAAAATTCCACAATTAAAGAAGTTGTTATTCTACTATGGCAACAGCTAGCGACAATTTTATTATTGGGGGAACAAGCATTGCGGACGATTTTAAAGGGGAAGGGGCACTTCAGCTCACCATCTCACTCTTGGTGGCGCTGTCATAAAGTGTGCCCGCAGGCAACCTATTTTGAAACCACCTCCAATGTTAATTTTTCTTCCAAATGATACCAGTCCAATCTTTACTTTGTGTAAGGTTTCTGTCATGAAATCGGTAGGTACTTTTCTGGATAACTGCACATGACCCTACATGTACGTGGCTTTAACCCTATTGTAAGTCTGATTTCTTTAATTTTCTCAATCCTGAATGAACATACTGGCGAGACCACTCCTGCAACATGCACAACTTTAGCTGTAAGTAGAAGATATTGAACCCTCCTATTGTTTGATCAGTCATAGACAGTCAAAATGTTCTTCCACTTCCCCTGCCATGCATAAATTTGTACACAGACTAGTAAAAAACAGTCAGATCACTTTCATGTAAAACCCTATGACTTGTCAAATTCCCATCAACAGACAAAAGAGGTACATGTATGGTAGGTCACCTTCAGTCACAGCATGGCCATACCAAATTATCAAGGTAGCAGTCACTGGATTGATTTTGACTGCTGTGATGGTGTAGCCAAATTTGTCAGCGAGAGACTAGAAGGAGGGTAAATCCTCCCGGCATAGGAGAACTTACCTTGAGGAATGAAAGAATACTACCAACGAGGCAGACACCACCCAGAGCAATGAGGCAAATGGTCAGGATTCGGATCTTGTCAAGAGCAGGATCTATGATTAATATTGAAAAAGATAACCATGAACAAAGAGATTGAACAATTGAACACATGTTGCTTTGTTGTATGGTTTGTTGTATGAGTTTACAGTCTTCGTTTTGATGGGCTTCGGGTATTTTGTGATGAGGAAATATTTTTGCGTAAAAATTCGCATTATAACGGGCTTTAACCAATAAGCACCGGTATATTGTGTTTATTCATTGCTGAATCCACAAAGCACAGAGTGCTTGGGCAGTTTTGGGCTGCACAGTGACTACATGTAACTGGTTAATGGTGATTAACTGCTACATGTACATGTACGCAAAGTGGTTGCTGTATTGCTACAGAGGTAATCTTACCACAATAGATCTGCTTACAGGCCAAGAAACCATCTAAGCATGAGCTACAAGGAAAACAGAGAAAACGATCAGTCATAACATCAGTTTTATGAATTACGAAGATATATGTTTTCAAAAGAATGTACATGTACCAGCAAGGCAGGGTAAGTCTACAATTTTGCTCCTGGAACTTTTGGAACTCAAGTACCGGTACATAAGGTGTGACATGATTCTTGACTTTTCCGGTTAACTAAAATAGCTAGTCTATGTTAATCTAACTTTTTCACGATTCTTAGACTTCTGATTAATTTGGAGATCACTAAGCCAATACTTTACTTGCTTTATTTCTTTTACAGTATGAAGAGAGGAAGGAAAACTCCCCTAGGTTCCCCATAGCTCGCATATAAAGAAACGTATATAGTTATCCATGATTGTGTAAAACTCTGTCAATTAAGACTTGATGGTCTACATGGTGAAATATCCTTGGGTTCACAAGTTCTGCGGTAACAGCAACCAGTTAACAGGATTTTTCAAAAAGTGCACTCTGTTTCTTCTTGAGAAGTTAAGACAAACAACCTTCTCTGGAAGACAGAGCATACTTTTCATCAAAACTCAAGTTTTTCACTGGTATTTCTCAGAACCATGTGTATCACAAAAGGGACAAAATGATACTACATGTACTGGGCAATTCCATGTAAAAGTGGACATTTTGTTATTACATAACAGACCTCATTATTATTCGTAACTCGTAAACGAAAAGAACTTTTTCAACTTCTTTTCGTTTACAAGCAACAATGTGAAAATAATACGTAGTACCTTTTATTTCCACTTAAAGAAAAAAAAATCTTTTTGTTTACGAATTAGGAATAATAATGAGGTCCGTTACGGAATGACAAAATGTCCGCTTCTACATGGAATTGCCCCATTGCAAAACTCCTGAGCCATGTCTTTGTACATACCATGAGCTGCAGCCATCTGATTCAACTATGTTTTCATGATTCTGGTAAATCCTGCCATTGTGATAGCAAGCTGTGAAAGCAAACGCACAAAATCAAAAAGAATGAGTGCTGACATTAAGACCTTTTTCCGATTATGAATCAAGATAATTGGGATGGATCTCAAGTCGGGTCACAAGTAACCGGAAGATGACCAACAACAAAGGAATGCATTTGCCGCAGCTCATTTGAATAGCTTGTGAGTTGACTTGAGACTGAAGGACTTGTGATGGACTTGTGATACACCGCGACTACAACGATGCATATTCAGGTTTGGTTGGTTTGGCCACAGTCAAATGACAATCTGTCAAATAAATCTATACCAAACACATGTGGACCAGTGTGCATGTGCTGTACTGTGGCTTTGACATACTGGCTCTGGTGAGGATAGGCCGCACAGTGTCATCTACTGTGCATGTAGTCTTGTTCCAAGACTGCATTTTGTTCCCTTCACCCTATAACCCTGCCAGACGCAACACAGTGCATCAGGTGGAAAAGTCGGGTGGGAGACAGGCATGCAATTGGGAATTTAGAAGGAAAAAAAATGAGCAAATTCCAAACCACACAAGACTTTGTACAGTGTTTTTCAAATTGTAAAAGCATTCATGAGAAGTAAAAAACAAGAAAATCACATATCCAAGAAAAAGTTCCGCATGCCTGCACAGAAACATGGTTGACTATGACAACACCCTTGACAGAATACACACAGACAGCTAACCTACTTTGGCCACATCATATGCATGAATGCCAGGAGATTGCCTAACCTACATGTATGCATCAATGGACACATCAACGGAAGTAGACTTGCAGGAAGACCACCTAAGTGCTGGACGGACTGTCTAAGGGAAAGCTGCCAAACCAAGGAACCAGTACTTCACAAGATCAGATACCCAAGATCAGATACTGCAGAGAACTTTCATCAATATGGCTGCCACCTTGACGGACACTATAGGCTCGTGCAAGAAAGGCATAAGTCAAGTCAAGTCAGTCAATGCAGCCACTCCCCAGCCTCCAATGGCAAGCAACGCAGTAGTGAAAGGCGCTATCATAAACAAGACGAATCAATTCCAGTCTTGGGAATCTCGGCACTCAGACCCGAGATATTCTGAACAAACCACACACTTGCTATATCTATGCCAATGCTATGGACTGATTTGATAAGGAGAACATAATGTAAATCCAGTCTTAAGCCCGGTTCACACTAAGTGCAAAAGCGAAAGTGAACGTGAATTTGTGATGTCATCACAAGTATTTCGTGCTGCGAATTCGTAAAAGTTGAACGTTTTCAACTCGGGCGAATTTCGCAGTGAATGTTTCATGACATCAAATTCGCTTCGCATACGCATTCGCCTGAAGTATGAACCGGGCTTTAGACCAAGACTACTGCTCCTATTAGAGTCCTCATACCGGGGTACCATCAACAAACCTTACCATAGACTGGCTCCGTGCACGTGCGACCACACACAGCATCATTGCAGCATTTGCGATCCACATCACAGTCTCTGTCATCAGCACAGCGGACAGTGCAGTTTGTCTTGACTGGATCCTGTCTGGTTTGCCTCAGAATAGACGGTACCTCCGCTGGGCACATTCCCAGTCTGTTCTCTGTAAGAATTCATCAAGATTCAGGATTGAAATCCACATATTTTAATTTGGTAAAAAAAAAATACAGAGAAACTTTCACATACATGAACCTTTTACAAAGGCTGCTATATATCTAACCCAGTATGTGTGCATCACAACTAGGTGAGACCTGTTCTTGTTATGGGAGTTTTTCTACTAATTTCATCAGACACAGCTTACGGGCAAGCAGGGCCCTTATCAACCTCGTCCCCAGTGCTTACTTTATTTCCAACCGTGTTTCCAATAGTAAACCCTGGATAGGAAACTTTCTTCCTGTATCTTAATTGGATACCGCAATTGGCTAGTAATGGATTTTTATCGTGTACTTGGTGCTATATATTCACAACGTGCAGTACGTGTTTTCGCGATCATTCGTCCACACCTTCTCGAAAATACTAATTTCCTTTCCAATTTGCTCATATTAATATGAAATATGATACTGCATGTTGTCTTGATAAGATCGTAACAGTTTGATTTCAAAAATCGTGTTTTCGTAACTCACGCCGTGCTCGCGCTGCTGCGAATTGACTCTGTTTTTACCCCAGACACCGCATACAAAAACAAACGCTAATGTGTAACGCATATCCAGGCACCAGACTGTTCCTCATTTGCATACGTGTGCAAAAATCTTGCACATGCAAATGATCCAATACCAGGGTGAGAGAGCAGGTAGTGGTGGGCGCGTACTGCTCGACACCCTGGGGACGAGGTTGGGCCCTTATGTACATGTATACGGAAGAGTGATATCACCTCTTTCCCAGTCAGGCTCACTTCCTTGAAATTATTTCACGCACATTCCTTAACCAGTTCACGCCGGGATTATTCTGACAAGAACTTTTCACTTGATCTCAAGCCAGGCTGGTTAAAGCCATCACTCTTGGGCAGCACACTCATACTTCAGCGAGTCGCTGACACTGACAGATGTTTCTGGCCTCGCTCCCTGCATGTTTATTTGTCATCCGTTTCGAATACCGCACAATTGTTGGCCTCTGGCGCGAACTGGTTAACGACGCATTCAACATACATTTGAGTTGAACACACATGGTCACAGACAGCAATTTTACAACTGGTCCGCTTTCATAGAACATTTTCACCAGTAACAACCACTGATTATTTTCACTTCTAAGAGGAGATTTCAGCCAATTATAAAACTTGGGTTTACAACTTTTTTTACAACCGCCATAGCGAAACACTGTGTTCAAAATTGGGCCAATGCAGTGCCTGTGAAATGGTTACTATGGTTGCACTGAATTGACTTCTGAATGACGACACGGCTTCAGCAGTACAATGTATACACACGTATCGGTATGTACATGGTTGTAATGGCATATTGTACAAATTGTATAGCAACAACATGTACATGTACCAGGACATTTGAGTTAATTAACTGTTGAGTGGTTTAGATAATATACAGAGCGACATGTACATGTACCGTACGTGTACTGTGACTGTGTGTACATGCAACTTTATTCATAGTTTTTGGTACATACGTACCGGTAGGCTTTGTGTACAATTTCCACAAATATAACTGGTCCACATACATGTACAACATGTACACTGGAATGTACGTACATGTACATGTACCGGTACCTGTCAAAAACCTGTACTCAGAAAAAGTTGCTGCCCAAAGCAACACACATACATACATTCATCTAAGATTATAATGCATGTACAATGTACATACATGTATTAGTGCCAAAATAAGATTGAATGCTCACTTTACAAAGTACAACTAGGTGATGTAACAATATAAAACATGTACTGGTATGCATTTACATGCAGCAAACAGAGCACATCCTGGCTGCACTGTGTATTATTGTTCAAGTATATATGATTTATCTACTATTATTGCTGTTGTTTATGAACAACAATTGCTATTTACTTTTATCCCAAGGAAAACATTGGATCAAGGTCAACAAATGCCAGCCAATGTTTATGTCAATTGAATATTTAGTGGAATGGTCAAAAGTTCTGTTTCCTAAAATGTGGTTGTCACAGTGCAGTGTGTATTAAACATAAACAAAGATCGGTGTAAAACCCAAGTAAAAAGAGAAGTTGTTGAATAAAAACTGATTTGTGAAACCCTCTCAGTCACAATATCTGCATTTTATATGCAATTGAATGGAACTAATACATGTACGAACTTGATTGCCCAGGAAGGGGACAATTGTAAGGTATAATAAAACCAATTGTCGTCGGTTGTGATATGGTTCATAGCATTTTGTAGTCCTACAGGGCAAATAGATCTCTCTACGTCTATACAAACATTGAGAACGATCTTCCCCATGAAATAATCTGAACTACTGGTGTGCAGAATAAATTGCCTAAAAAGATGGAATTTCCGGTAAAACAATCTAATACATGTATATTATCTGTCCGATTCCCTTGGTCATCATTTTCATCCAATATACAGGGTGAGTAAAAAAGAAGCGGAACCCAAACCTCAAAAAATATATTTCATATTTAAAACAATTTGTAGCACCAAAAATAATAATGACTGGAAAGCCAATTTCAAAAACAACTTTTCAATGAAAAAAATGCTTAAATTGCTCAATCTGTTCAAAGTAGGCCTATATCACCATTTTAACACAATGACCCTAAACCTCTTTTGTCAAAAAAATGCGATTTCAAGAATCGTCGTCACAATTGTCTTCAAACCTCAGTTTAAAAGTTAAAAATATTCAACAAAGTCCTTTTGACATGTTTGAAGGCTTGTCTTTTGGAAAAAAGTGGATTTTATAAATCGTATTGTTTGCCTAAGCAGGGTTGTCAATAAATATGTTGTGTACTACAGTTGTTGACAGTTGTTGAAACAAGTTTTCTAGCTGTGTCATTTCTTTGTTGTTCCAAACAGTCAGAAAACACAATAAATTGTTTTTTTTTGGACAAAACAGGTTTTAGGGTCATTGCGTTTAATTGGTGACATTCTTTGAACGGATTGAGCAATTTCAGTAATTTTTTTTATCGAAAAGTAGTTTCTGAAATTGGCTTTCCAGTCATTATTATTTTGCTGCTACATGTACATATTTTTTTGAATATGAACTATATTTTGGGGGGTTTGGGTTCAGCTTTTTTTGACTCACCCTGTATCTGCTTGCCAAACACAGAGTTAAAGTTTGCACAAATTGTGGAGTGCCGTAGCCTCGTGGTTTTGAACACTGAATTTTTGGTCTGTGGGTAATTCTGCAGGTTGTGGGTTCGAGTCCAGCCAGGGGCTATATTGGTGCCCTTGAGCAAGGCACATTGTCACTCATTGCTTCTCTCCCCCCAGGAGTAAATGGGTACCTGTGTAGGCTAGAGATTGTTATTGTGGTTGATTTCAGCTGCTTTGCGCCGGAATGGCAGCATCGAGCTGTATACTCCTCAGGGAGCTGAGATGGTCCTGGGAATGATTCAAATCATAACCTCCAATGTATCCATTTTAAAGCCCGAGTCCATCATTTGCAGCTATCCAAAAAAGTAACCGGCGTAATTATTGTTGAAAAACATACTGGTTGAAAGATAGTAAGGGGACTAAACTCCCTGTGAAATTATCCTTTTTGGCAAGCTCTCATTTTGAAGAAATCAACGAAAGAAGGCATTTCCAACGGTGCTTCTTAAGAAGCACCGTAGGAAAATTTAAATTAGTTGTTCGTTTTGTTATTCGGTGCAGCGCGCACAAAGCATTGGAACGACGCACAGGTGCGCTCGGTTGCTATAATTCGTTGGATCAGTGCGCAACATCGCGTAAAGCTGCAATTCGAAACATGATTTAGCAACTTTTGATTTGAAATGGAGATCCTAGAATGCTGTTTTTCTCGGAATATGAAGCTGAAGCTGAGCTGAAACTTCATCAAGGAAGTTGTTCAGTATCCTTCATTACATTTTGAACACTTTTGTTGCTTCAAACGAACAAAATGCACTAATTACAAATGATGGACTATAGCTTTAACACTGGAAGCCAGAACCTCCCTGGATCCGCCCTTGTACGTGTACGTACCTTCCCGCCTCTCTGAAGCAACACACATAAAACTGCAGCCAGTGAAGCAACACTTCTCATGTGACACACAGTCCTGGTCAATATCACAGGGTGGTGGGTCTATGCACATGGCTGGCTCTGAGCTGTTGACTGCTGGACACAGGCCAGCATGAGGCACTGGACACGAGAAAATAAAAAGCAGTAATGGCAAAAAATTTAATTATTTAAAACAGCATTCAAACAGCAATATTTTTTAGTTAGAAATATTCTTTTCAGTTTTAAGTGTGCATGTTTGAAATCCTAGGACAAATAAATGTCTCTGTTCCATCTCTAAACCTAAAATTAACAATGCAACTTATTTTTTATTTTAATTTTTTTATTATAAAAACATTACACATTTTCTGTTTTGACTCTTTGACCGAAAAGATATTTATGGGAATAAATATGTGCTTGGCCGGTAGTAAACAAGTCTGTTTAAGACCAACCAGCTGGGGGTCTGGTCGCAAACAATATCCCTCGCCTTCAGTTCGGCTTGGGCTATTCTCAGCCTCCATTCCCCCAGCCGGTCTTAAAGGGAATATACGTGATTGGCTTTTGCTGTAATTTTCAGAAATGAACTATTTGAGAGGTTAGTATAATAGATCAAATATTGTTAGACTGACAATGTTCGAAAATGCTGGGAAAAAAACAAGAAAAACAAAAATGTTCAAGTAGTCTGGTTCCATGACTCCACTAAATATAAAATGGATCAATTTACAGATGCCAGAAACTTGTAAAGTAATTGAACCAGTCTAGCTGGGCTGCACCCGTTCATGAACATGTCACCAATAGCAAACAAAATTTGGACTGAAAGAAAAATGGTTAATTTGGAGCAGTAGTTAAAAAATAGTTAGGTTTTTCCAACGGTGGTCGGCCGACCACCGTTGGGAATTTTTACAAAAATACCATTTTTTTGAAAATGACTTCACACCAGGTGCCATAATTTTACAGGATGCTTTAGACTGTCATTTACCAACATCCTAGAAAGGTATTTCGTAAAAACTAGGTAGTTTTATTTTTCGATGTTTGCAAATGTTGTATAAAAAATTATTCCCTTTAAACAGACTTTTTTAATAACCGGCTAAGCACACATATATTGCCTTATTTTTTAAAATCAAGTCTTTTTAGTGTCATTTTGAAGCGTTTTTGGAATTTTTTTGGAGTAAGTACTAAAGTTTTGACCCCTGCCGGTATACACTTCACAAAAATACTCTTTAACCCTTTGAACCTACAGTTGTATAGAAACCCTGTTGAACACAGCAACATTGCACCACTTGTTAAAATTACAACAGTGCTCTTTGTAGCAAAATCCTTAAAAATATTATCGTAAATAATGTCCCAAAGTCTGTGGTCACCAACTGCAGCATGATACAACTGTGGCATTGTACCATGGGGACAATATGTAGAGAATTGGCAGTTTATGCACTGGTGCGGATGGCTCAATACAGCAAAGTCCCACAGACTTTTATGCCAGTTGGACTGCGTTGCATCTGGCATGGTTAGAGCTACATTGTTGATGTAATCTAGCCCCATAAATGTGGCGTTAGACACTTCCTCAGAATTGGGAGCCACACACCGGTGACAGGAACATAATATGTGGAAAAGTTGTTTTGCGGAAATCAACATCGGCACATTTTTTCTCTTGAGGGCTTATTCCGCCCATGGCTCACCCACCGCGCACAGAACTGGCGCGGCGGAATTGATACTTACTATGGAAGATACAAACCAACTTAATAATCAGGACAAATTGAGTACCGTTCCTGTAGGTGTCTGGTCATCCAATAAGTTTCAGGCGAAATTTGTAGAGAGTTTGTCCAAAAATGACTGCAGTATTTTGTCGAGGTCACGGGCCCTGTGCCCTTGACCTTTTGATTTTCCCTGGTTAAAAGTATCTGCCATAGTGAATATCAAAGGAGGAAGTCCAATATGTTATTTCAGCCACATTTTGGGGGCTAGGGTTAATCCAACCTATTTTCACCAACCTCCAATGTTCTCTGGGTATCGGCACGTCATCCCGCAGCCATTTTTGCAACATTTCTGGTTGCCATAGCAATCAAAGTCGACCGCACATTCCTGTACACAGATTCCCAGTTGGCCACCATCCGAAATTGGGCACTGGCCTGGTTTCCACTCCGCTACAGCCAAGATGAAAATGGTAAATGAAAATTGAAATTTGAAAAATTGGGGACACAGATTACCAAATACAGATTTAAATTTAAATCTCCTTGAACTTAGCACCTTCCTCCAGATAAAGGCCCCAGATGAAATTTGAAAATCAGTTTTTGATTTATTAGAGTTTTAATCTTTGGAGCATGTTGAGGAAAAAAGTCCACAATTTTAGTTTAGGCACACACTGATGAGTGACAAAACCCAAAGGGCGCCAACCTACGTATTTGTCATAATTCAATGCCAATGGCATGCGTTTTCAATAACATTCACAGATTACTAAAGCGACCTAGACCTACCGGTAAGTGTAGTAACTGGGGCGCTAGAACTTTGAAATTCGGGGTTGGCCTTAATTGGTACATGTCCGTGTCCACATATATGTGCAAAGCGTTCATTCCATGGTCCCAGCGCGATTCCGCTTCCGAGCGAGATGCAGCGATTATGATAATGAGTAGACTGGATCTCGTTTGTACACACAAGTGCATTTCGAACTACAATGTACGGAGTCCTGAACTAGGGCAGCTATCAGCGGAAACCAGTTCATACAAGCTAGTTCCAGACTCTGTATCATCGTTTGAAATGCACTTGTACAAACGAGATCCAGTCTACTCATGAATTATCATAATCGATGCATCGCGCTTGGTAACAGAATCGCGCTGGGACCATTAAATGAACGCCGGGCACGTACGTCCACATCGCGTTGTTCAAACACGAGTCGGAAATTTAACGTGTTCACGATCGATTGTGAGGGGAGCTCTCGAAATTGAACGGGAAATTTCCACTTTTCATCCGACTCGTAAGCAAACTTTAGTACCTTGATTTTAATCATCGATCTCTCCTTGTACCGTTGTTCTGTTTGAAGTAGATTATTACTAGCTTCATGAATGTCTGCTGCATCGTATGAGGTATGAATTATGGAATCTGGGTCGGGATATAGGGAAAATGGACCGTTTTTGTAATGCACTGGGGATATAAAGTCTGGGATTCTTACGACCCGGTTTTTGTAACGTAGTTGTGACTCCAGCTCTAACGCGATAAGTATTAGAGCTGGAGTTACTCAAGCTATTCTGATGGCTGATACTGCTAGTGATAGTGAAAAGTGATATAGCCCGAGATCCTCCTGTTTCTGTGCAGATAAGGCTTTGCAACCCAGTAGCTTTAAAATAGCAAAGCAACCACTCTTTTTCTCAACATTGAATGAATGCGCGCTCGTTCTTAATAATGCGCGCTCATTCTTAAGACTGCGTGATTTGCAAGAAAGCGCACTACAACGATACTACTTTAATACTAGTACTACTACTAGCCTAATTCACTGAAGCACTGACTGACTGAAGCCTGGGAAAAATTTGTGAAGTGAACTGATGGCCAGATATGGGAATCTTTCCCTTGATACACCTAGGCCTACGTCATTAAACCTGAAAGGAAAACATCATACCTGCTCCTCCAGTTAGCATAAATATGAGACAAAATGGAATTTTAAGCTCCATTTTCGTCACTTTATATCTGAACCCTTCCCTGTTGATCACGATGATGTCATTGATGATGATGCAGATGTTACAAACTTACGTGCACTGTACCTTCGCGACCTTCGCGCGGCTGCTGTGCTTTGTATACCGCCCTCAAGCGGCCATTGGACTTCAAATAATGGCCAGGTGTATGCAAATTGTATGTGTGGTCTTATCCGAGAATCCCGCCTCCTGATCAAAAACAACGGTAATGTTTGCCCGCAACTAGCGTATTATTGCAAAATGACGGCCTTGCCACGAATGTGCAATTTCCGAGGTAATGAACTATATGTTTTTGCTCAATCTAATAGTATCTCTGGCAAATATCAATAAAGAGAGAGAAATATATATAGTTGTTCAGTATATTGTTGATGTACCCTAACGTGGCGCGGCCCCTAACGTGGCGCACTTTGATTTTTAGCCTGTAGCGCCTACCTAGAGCAAAACTTTTAACTGAAATTTCACAGAAAGTGAAATTTCATCAAGTTCTAAACAGTCCTGTTCATAAATCGCGAGTTTATTTACCAGTAACAAAGTTAGAAGGAAAAGTTATTTTGGCGTGATTTTCCGATTTTATTTTCAAGTGCAAAGTGAACCCTTTGAAAATGCCCTGAAAAATAAGAAAATAATTTTCTGACAAACATCTGGCTGGGTATGTAAGTAGAGATAAAAATTATTTATCAGAATTTATCAAGTTTACAGGAATTCTTAAAGGTTAATTTGAAATTTTTCAAGATTTATTCAAGTGCGCCGCGTTAGGGAACACTCCGCCAATTTGTGCCCAATTTCCGGACGCCACCGTTTTTGAATTTCGGATTAAATTTTATGAAACTGAAATTGTTCACAGAGGTTAAATAGCAAGCATTAATAAGGTAAAAGTACTAGTATTTGAATGCATGAATTTGAGGTTTGTCAACAAAGAGGTTTGGCAACACTACACGAGGAAAGTCGGGTAAGCTTCGAAGTGCGCCACGTTAGGGAACACGACTATACCTATATGCAGTTGTAATGCTTTTTGCGATTTTGCGCACTTTTTGTTGAATAGAGTAAGTTTTCTCATATTGTGTTGAAGTATTCTCCATGCGTCGTGAGTATACCTCATCATGGTGCGCTGGATGGAGCATGAGCCTGTATTGCACTGCCGGACGCGAATTTCGTTTCCGTAGGTGGGTTGCTCCAAAGTCATGAATAATTCAGTAGTTCGATGGGCCGGTATTTCGTTTCCGTAGGTGGGTTGCTCCAAAGTCATGAATAATTCAGTAGTTCGATGGGCCGGTATTTCGTTTCCGTAGGTGGGTTGCTCCAAAGTCATGAATAATTCAGTAGTTCGATCGGGCCGGTATTTCGTTTCCGTAGGTGGGTTGCTCCAAAGTCATGAATAATTCAGTAGTTCGATGGGCCGGTATTTTTCTTCATAAAATAGTACAACGATATCAAGAGCATTGTTCTTATTTAGTCAACCAGTTACCTTTAAAAGCATTTTAAAAGTACGGCCGTCGTCGAGCTACCGTCTGATCCCCGTTGAGCGATCCCCGGGCTGGCTGGATTGCTCTTACATTATATTAATTTCGTTGCCGTTTCTACGCGCCGTCTCACGCACTCGTCTTGATTCGGCCGTCTAGATCTACGGGACTCTATTATCTGCGATAAAACAACAAGTGCTGTACACTTAAAAAAATTCAAAAAAAATCTCACATTTTGTGATGTCCTCTACATGACTACCATATTTCGAGACACAAATTTTTTAATGGCATCGTTCGTTATTCGCTCTAATACACAAAGTAATTAATGTGTGACACATTCAGTATTTCGTATTGACGAGGTCACGAATCTGTATTCGCCACTAAGTCTCGTTGATTTAACACGACGTGCCTATATTCTAAAGTTTCCGAAATCTTAGTATTAAGCGGTCATTAAATTAGACTCCTCCAAAAATGTTAGTCTTCGGCAATTTTTGTCAAAATTATACACAATGGGTGTTTAAATGAAGGGCACCTCATAAAAAAAAACACACCCATTTATGTTGGTAACAATTACATTTTTTCGAATCAAATCAAACAGTATGTAAACATTATCTGACAGTCATACACTTAATAATTAAACTTCTCATTGGGATTAGTTTCTGACTGACAAATGTTTTGATGGTATTTAAAAATAAATTAAATTCTCTTCAACAGAGTTCACTTTCAGTAATCTTGTGGAAATTGTGCACATACATGTAACTTATTTCAGCTATAAGGGCGGACTTAGCTTTCACACCGGTACGCCGTCAGTGAACAAGGAATGAAACTGTAACAAGAAGCAGATACTATACATAGCTCACAGTCAAGCGGCTTCCAATTTTTGACAAGATCGTGACCGACTGGTCCAAAGCACCAAACTTGGCAGATAAATTCTTATAGCCCCAAAGAAGATTTTTAGGACACCTGAAATTGTTTTGTAAGGGGTGCCTAATTTGCATAAATCGCAATATAGCAGCCGTGCAATGTGTTTATTGCCATATTTTGGTATTTTGTTATATTTCTAGTATTTAAACATGTTTCCAAACTGATAGCAAGAAATTGTTTAGAAAAATGTTCAATTGCTAAACACACTTTTTGCATGCAGCGCATGAGCCCTTGACCAGTAATAACTTAAGTTACATGAAAAAAATCTAACATGATTCCAAGGGGGATGATTTAGTGTAATCAATATGATATGATTTACGTAGATTATGTTTAGCTCCCGTATCCTTGAAAATTTACGCTAGGCCTATATTGTTTTGGCAACACACTTTCAACCAAACAAAAGCTAAATCTACACCATGCAGTTTGGAGCACTTTATTTGTTTTGTTTTGTTACATAATGTGACATAAAAAGGTATTATTAATGACAATTGATATCCCGCCACCGAACGAAGCAACATTCTTTACAATCGTTAGTGCAATATTAAGGTGTACTCATTCATCAATTTTAATCAATGCGCTCAAATACGCGATAACAAAAAACTCAAAAGTAAAAGGTTCTGAAGTTACCCAATGTGTTTTGCAATGTTCGGTTCGTAGCAATTTCGTTGTCAACAGCTACAAAAAGAAAGTTGCGGCCATTATTTCACATCTGAATGGGCTTCAATTGAGTTGCCGCCCCTCCAGTGCACGGGATAACGATGATTAAGTATAGAGCAAGGAACTTTGCTCTAATATGGTTTAAGTTGTATCCTTATTAGCTGGATTCGGACACCCTGAGAAAAAGCTCAAATAGATCTTGATCATGATGCCACCATTTCATTCATGTTCCATAACAATAACATCACTGAATGATAATGTTTTTGTGCAAAAAGGAACCAGACTGTTTTTCCTTCCAGCCTCGCTTTGGTTACGTTGATTTGAATGGGGAAAAAAATCAAGATGACCGCAACATGATAAATAGCCTTTCGCCAAGGCCATCGTGGCTTAGAGCGGCGGAGCTGCGAAGGCCCGAAGCGACTCGATCAAAGATTAAGTCAGCACGTACGAGTAGCGAAGCAATGAGGCCTTTTCGAACTTGATTTTGTTGAATTATTCATAGTTTTTATGCAAATCAGCAAGTGCTGAAAGGTTAACCAATCACAACGCGGATTTTGACTAGCCGCTTCCATTTGTGAAAGAAGGGTGAGTAAGGAAAACGAAAGAGCAAATAAATGTAAGTTCAGATGAAAAATAAGTTCATACACTCAAATAATTCCTTGAAATACTTTTTTTAAGTAAAATTAACAAAAGATAATGTAAGAACAATTACGCGGTCACGATCTCGTGGAAAACTAGACATTATATACTAGTAGCCACGCACGCACTAAAAGGCTGATGATTGGTTGGAATTTTGCTACCCTTTTGGGTTAGCAAAAATCGAGAATACAAAGAAACACATAAGACATTCTTGACAAGTTGGAAAAGGCTCTCGTGGCTACGCCACTCGCGTGTGTTGTCTCCTGCCGAGTCGCTTCGCGGTTTCGCCGAATGCCGGCAAGTTAAGCCACGATGGCCTTGACGAAAGGCTACATGATAAATGGCCTATTGCACTGCTTTTTGGAGTATTATGTTTAAATTGATCAGATTTATCGAGAGAACAAAAAGCTAGCAAATGATAATAAGAAAAACAAATGAGTTTCACTAACTTGCTGCTGCATCCCGCTTTTTAAAATCTTTAGGCGCAGCAATAAAAAAGAAAGAGACGCAAAACAACTTTTTGGAACACCCAATCGAGTGTCTACAGAGAAGCAATTGCACGATTTTTTGTTTGTTCAAGTTGTATCATTATCCAATAGGGATTCCAAAAGCAGAGAAGATCCATGAAACTGAATAAATTTGAATAACAAGCATCATGTAATGAACAAATTTAAAAGAACATGGACGTAATATCGAGTTGAATTCGATGCTTGGGTCCAAGTCATGTTACAGAACGTTTCCGGTAGAAGCGCCTGCAATCGGCTCGAACTCTGGTACCTTGGAAGAAAAGAACCAAAAAATATATTTATTGGCTAAAACTATATGATTATACATGTATTCAGCCCAATGAGCTAGCAAGTTGTGGTCATGTATGGTAATTCGTTTTAAGTTATATTAAAAGAAAGCCAAATAAGCCACTAGCATCATTAGTCAAAATACTAGCAACATAAGCAATGCTGAGGAATAGCAAAAGGAAATAACCCATCCAGCTTAAACGATTTTTTTTTAAATACATGGAATATTGCCCAGATTTAGGGAAATTGTTTATTTTCTTCTACTGGGGATTTATTGTCCTTCATTTTTTCCCCTAAATGAAACGGGACGATTGCCACTGAAAAAATACCTCGTGCATAAGCTTGTATCTCAACCTTTTCGTCGTTTCTCTGATCAGGAAACACTGTCAATAAATGAGGAAGAAAATCATTAGTCTCATAATATAATGTACATGCATCAGCGTAGGTGACTTTCACATTACATTGCTACTATTGCAACGATGAAATTAGTGTTATCAACGTTTGCAGGGGTATATTTCATGGTGACGTATACCATGCAAGAGAATAATGCTGAAAGAAAATTAACATTGTGTGGCATATATTTCTACGATAAGCAAAAGATTATGAAACTGGGGACAATGGGGGCAATGTCCTAGCAAATTATTATTATTATTTTGGAGAATTACTATTTATTTCTAAGTTATTATTTCACTCGCCAACGAATACGCATTCGGACTGCGTTGCATCGATTGAACTTTTGGCAAGTTAAGAAAAAAAGGTTTGGTGAAATTCTAAACGGCCTGATACTTGCATGCAAATGATTCACAGGGATACTCACTCTTATGATCACAATCATGAGAGCGAGGCCGAGCAGGACTCCAGCAACGCTTAAGATAATGGGCATGACGAGCGCCTTGGAGAACAGTCCTGGGGAGAAGGAAACAAAGAGACGATTTGAAAAGAATCCGGTACAGTAATTAATGGGGGAAAACAGATGGGAACATGCAAGAGCCGATTTTATTACATTTAAAGTCTGTTATCGATCTTCTGCTGTGGATGAGTTAAAGTTTAACTTTGTATTGGTGTGATGTGACACCCCGAGTTCTGACTGAATTACTTTGTTGTTTAACCATAATGTAGGTTATGATTTTTTTTTCATTTACACGCCACACAAAGATCGACCCGTGACGATAGGAGGAGGAATAATACATGTACAGCATCAACAAGAAAATGAGCATCAACAAAATCAATTACTTGCCTTCTTGTTTACAAGGATCCCGAACCATGCAAATCACTTCTCCTTTTATGCATTGGCTGAAACATGAACATTAATTCACAATTAATCAATCATGCCTATATATTTCACACAACCGTTCTATATGACATCTGCCACTAATACACACCCTTTCACAGTCTCAATACCTAGGTCTCGCATTGTCCACCATCCTACAGTTTTCCAAGAGCTTCATCAACAAGCTCGATCTCTTAAAGGGAATGTACATCATTGGCTTTTGCTGTAATTTTCAGAAATGAACTATTTGAGAGGTTAGTATTATAATAGATCAAATATTGTTTAACTGACATGCTTGAAGTTTTGTGTTCGAAAATGCTTGAAAAACCAAGGAAAACAAAAATGTTCAAGTAGTCTGGTTCCCTGACATAAAATGGATCAATTTATAGATGTCGGAAAATTGTAAGGTAAGGGAACCAGTCTAGCTGGCCTGCACCCGTTCATGAACATGTAACCAATAGCAAACAAAATTTGGACCGAAAAAAATTGCAAATTTGGAGCAGTAGTTGAAAAATAGTTAGGTTTTTTCCAACGGTGGTCGGCCGACCACCGTTGGAAATGAATACAAAAATACCATTTTCTTGATAATGACTTGACACCAGGTGCCATAATTTTACAGGATGCTGTAGACTGTCATTTACCAACATCCTAGTAAGGTATTTCGTAAAAACTTGGTAGTTTTATTTTTCGATGTTTGCAAATGTTGTTTATTCCCTTTAATTACTTTCCTCACTTTCTTTGTCAAGAGTTTTTTAAAAAAGAGGATTTTTAGGTGTTTCATGCCTTTTCTTGGCATTATCGATTTCAAAAAAGCACAACAATTTTTTCTATAATTTGAGTAATGTGATCTTAAAAATGAATAAACGAGACGAATAAAAGTATGAAAATTGGTGAATCTGTTTCTCCTCTTTAGAAATTGTATTGTGTATACCGTTGCTTTGTTGGGGCGGGACCTGGTATGATTCCACGAAGGGGAGACTAACATTTTGGAAAGAGAAATACGGATTAATCAAAAAACAAAAAAAGGGGACTATACATATACTGTAGATGGTTGAAAAACATTGCGTGTATTTGAATATATTGAGCCCCCCCATTATCACTTGTCTTGTATCTCCCTTATATATACCTTATTATACCTTACCATGTTTGGCAGTCTTCGTCTGCGGGAACCGAGTCTCCATCATTGTAATAATTCTCGCCCAGTCTGCAATCTGCCCCAAAATAATTAACTCAAAATAATTAACATCAAACCATTACCCCAAAATAATTAACATCAACCTGTTACAATTTTGTCAAACACTGTCAAATATCGAAGGAAAGACTTTCCACAATTATATTCTTGTCTCGATGAGATGCAAATTGTACCGTGATGCTGAGTGGACATCACACATCGCAATTATTGTTTCGCAAATATTTGGAAAGATCTTTTCCATGTGAGATGTCCTTTCAATCAGGGGATGACACAATGGTAAGGTGGGTTTTGCCCTTCATGTGAGGTTATGGTGTTAGAAGCATGAATTGTGAACGCTCATCAGTTCCTTTCGTGAGCTTACTTGGAAGGGACTCGAACCCACCACCTCTTGCTTATTAGTGCACACGTTTTGACTTGTTCTGAGATCAACTTGTAGATTCACATTTGATATAGCAGGTAGTACAAATAATTATGCTTTTTGATAACATTCCTGCGTCAGAGAAGAAATTAGGCGATGGAAAAGGACAATAGCCAGGAGATCGGGAAGAAGAAGGTGAGGCATATAGGACAACAACGAGGAGACAAAGAAACCTTACCCATATTGTGTGTAGTTACAACAGGTGTGGTTGTATCCATGCACACATGCCCACAGCCGTTACTGCAACATTGCTGAGCACCTTCACAATCGCTATCAGAGCTACATTCCTCGGAGCAGATACCCAGTGCACCGTCTTGCACCACGGGGCATTGCCCGCTAGGTTTCGGTGTTGCAATCTCCACGGGCTCCATACAAGCATGGCCGCATCCGTTACTGCAACATTTCCCATCACCTTCGCAATCCACATCCGAGCTGCAGTCTTCGGAGCAGATACCCCCTACGCCCTCCGGTACCTCGGGACACTTGCCTTGCTTGATCGGTTGAGCCGTGTCCGTGCAAGTATGACCACACCCATTACTGCAACACCTCTGCTGACCTGGGCAATCTTCATCTGAACTGCAATCTTCTGAGCACGCCCCCACTTGACCACTTACAACCTCTGGGCACGTGCCTAGCTCGGTTTCAGGAGTGGGATTCATGCAAACGTGGCCGCATCCATTGCTGCAACATTTCATGTCCCCGTGGCAGTCAACATCAACAGAGCAACTCTCAGAACAAATTCCAAACCCATCCAGAGGTTTCACCGGACAATCCCCTGATTTGGTAACATTGGTACCACGCACGGGCTCCGTACAGACGTAACTGCACCCGATGCTACAACACTTCAACTCGTCCCCGCAGTCTCCATCCGAGCCGCAGTCATTCGTACAGGTGTCGCCCGAGTCCGTACGTCCCTCCTCCATCGGGCATTGGCCAGGTTTACCCGGTGGTTCCACGGCTGCGACACAGGTGTGACCGCACCCGTTGCTGCAGCACATCTCCCCTGCTTCACACTCGTCATCCGAGCTGCATTCCTCTGAGCAGATACCCACTGAATCACTGTCCACTGATGGACACTGGACGTGAGGTTTTTGACCGATTCTCGGTCGAAGGATGCCCAAGCAGGTATGTCCACAGCCATTCGAGCAGCACTTTTGATAACTGAGGCAGTCGGAATCGGACGAGCATTCTTCTACACAGATACCTCCGACACTTCCTTCATTCTTGGGGCAGTGGCCTGGATTTGCTGCTGATGAAAAGGAAAAGTGCAAAGCACCTTCATAAAATCCAAAAACTGCAACAGTGCATACAAGGTCTAATTGTAACAGTTAGAAGTTTCGGGTTTTTTTTTTTCAATCTAAAAACGTGAAGATGTTACTTACGATTTTTAGTAGTTACGTTTCACTCCTACACTAGGAGCTTTTGTCAGACTGGCAACCATGTCCTATGCTCAACTGCCTTTTATACCCTTTCTTGGTCATCATAGAGTTGCTTTGTCGAGGAGGCCATATGGATCAGACGGGGGAGGGGGGGGGGAACACTCTCAATAAAGACTATGGTGCTTAGTGTCCTACTAAAATGCGTCAACAAGCATCAACTGGCGTCAACAAGTTCAACGGTCGTCAACCCAGCGTCAACAAAATTTTGTATAAGTTTTGAATCAGAAAACCAGCTTTATATGGTAGAAATACCGATAAAGAACACCTTCAGCATTAAAATTACACTTCAAATTATTTCAAAAGTTGTTTTTTTCGAAGCGAAAAGAACGTCGAATTTGTCGAGTTTGTGTTGGCCGCCATCTTGTTTGTACGTAAACAAGATGGCGGCCAACACTAACTCGACAAACTCGTCGTTCTTTTCGCATTGAAAAATGTTAAGAGTAATTTTAATGATGAAGGTGTTCTTTATCGCTATTTCTACCATATTAAGCTGGTTTTAATGTTCCAAAACTTATACAAAATTTGTTGACGCTTGGTTGACGACCGTTGAACTTGTTGACGCCAGTTGACGCTTGTTGACGCATTTGAGTAGGACCGGGTGCACACAAGCTCCACAACACTACCAAATAGTCCAAACCACGCCCACAACGCCCTTGCCAGTCTGACAAAGCTACTAGTTTAGGAGTGTAACGTAACTACTAAAATTGAGAGTAACATCTTCACGGGTTTTGGGATTGGAAAAAACAATCTCCTAACTCTTGTTTTTACCAACAATCCAGATGATCTTATTTAAAGATATAATTAATTGTAATTGTACAATTCAATCCGGAACGGTCGTGTCTATAACGACTAGTGATACAAATTGGACATTTGCTGTGTACAATATAGCGTGCACAATGGTTTCGCCATTAAAGGGGGCCTCGTGAGTGTACATTGATCACGTGCTCGGATATGTCTATAATGGATGGATGTTTGATCATGCGCCGAATAGCCATAAATCAAGGATGCACGTGCTAAAAGAAAATACATTTCCGTAAGCAATAACATTGTGACGCAAAAACGCAAAAACACAAGCTTTTTTCATCACTTTCTCATCCAAATCGTTCTAAGTATCCATAGAGGTGATGATGTTTTTTTCTTAGCATTATTGAAACATTACCAAACATTTAGCACTTGGTACTTGGTATGGATGTTAAGACATACAGCCTCCGTGACCAATTGGCATCGCCATATAAAGTCTCTGCCGCACTGTCATTACATAAAAGAATACCCACTAAATTAAATTACTTATTAAGTAAACATACCATCACTAAAATGCCCATTATTTTGTCGCCTTGTTCGAAATATAACAACCATTTGCAAAATGCATTATACATTCCGTCTGTAACAGAGAGATTTCAGATATTTAAAAACACGCGACTGTAGTCGATATATTGACCTACATGTACGTAAATAATGGTCAGTTTCTCAAATATTATTTATATTTTAACTACAGGTCAATTTCAATCGATATCTAGCGATTTAAACCCAACCTGCTGGCTGATTTTTGAACTGGCAGCTGATCAAAAAGGAGAACAACAGAAGATACAAAATATAAAAAAATGTCACTTTTTTGATACTTACCGACACATGTCGCAACAAATGCAACAAACTGCATCAACACAATCACCTTCATGCTGATTTGGGGTGGAAATTGCTCAGCTTGCTTATAAAGGGGAGAAGACAATAAAGCTCAAAAGAATGTCGCAGAATAAAATACGGAACACTGTATCTGCATCACTGTTATCTAGATTGCGCTGGATGATGCAGCTGTCGCTATTCCACGCAAACCCTGCGTTGCTCCTAATGGTGCAGCCTAAATACAGTTTATCCCAACGGAGATAATACCGTTTACTGTCTGGATTCTCATTAGCGACATCTACCAGCACACTTTAACAAAATAAATTATCTGTTTGGATGCTGCGGAGCGTGAACGGCCATAAATTAGTATGCATCGTCTCGGTGAACTTTAACCCCAATTAAAATGGTCGACCTGCAAATTTGTCTTTCTTTATGAATCGATGTGCCCTGTGACGTCATATCAACAGGCAACCGGCAGGCAACCCAAAAATTTAAGCATCTTGTGCATGTTATTTGGCCCACATAAAACAGTTTATATCACCACTTTGACACCAATCACATTTCAAGAGATGATACACATGCAGTGTGTGAAGAAAACAGTTTGTTGAAAGTTGCAATCACGTGGCCACAACATCCAATTTTGTAAACAAATGACAAATGGTATATTATAGGCGGGTTCTTACTCAATGCAAGGATGAATGCTATCACAAAATATTGACGTCACGGCAGTTTTCGGACTACGAATTAGCACAAGTTGAATATAGTTCAGGGGCGGATCTAGCTTTCAGGAGGGGGGGGGGGTGAGTTCGGGCACGCTCTGTCAGTAGGATCCGCTAGCTTCATAACATTAACAGTAGTCACAGCGGCTGAACGGGGGAGGGCGGGGGTTGCAACCCACAACCAAAACCCTCCTAGATCCGCTACTAAATTTCAACTCCGGCAATTTCGTAGCGAACATTTTGTGACAACATCATTCGCTTTGCATTCGTGAGGACCCGGTCTTCACTGCGTGATAATGACTGGGTCGGGGATGGCCGCTGTTAATGGACCGGTGTTAATGGACCAGAATTTTTTCAGGGAGGCGTGCTGAAATGTAGACCGATTACTTTCTCCACACACTTAGGCCTCCGAAAAGCAATAGGTGGGTGGGGGGGGGCGTGCCTTATTTTCAATGGGGAGCCCCAATAAAATCCTACAATCAGGCACACTATACTAACTACAAAATAATGCACATTCCCTTGTCACGACTATTTCTTTAGGGGGAGACTGTTCGCATGTATGTCACATTCCTTCTTTTTGCTAATGCAATTTGTTATTTGTATGGAGTTTTTTTTGGGGGGGGGGGGGCTAGAGAAAATTTGGGGGGGGGGGGCTGAAGCCCCTTAGCCCCCCCCCCCCCCCCCCCCCCCCGTAGAACCGCCACTGGTGGGAATACATTAAAACATGCATATGCAGGGCAGTCAGAGTGGACTTGCATCTGTGTTCGCAACGGGTTCGCTCTGCCCGATGGATATGGACATGCTTAGTGGTTCAATCGAGATGAGAATAAGTCAACTGGCGTGCGAAATACATGTCTGTTAGCTTTCGAGAAACCATTATAGGATCTATTTTTCAATCCAAAACGTCCATGAGACTGAGTTCGGGGCATAGACGTAACATTCATGAGAATTACTTCGAGAAACAAACAGCTTCAAATCGAACAAAATATTTATGTCATTCGCCTAATCACATAAACTTTGCAAAAACCCATTCAATTGAGCTTTATAATTATGTGAGCTGTGCATGCACTCACGTTGAATCACGCAAGGAGCACAGACAAGATTAAGAACATTAAATGACGTTTCTTCGATTTTAAATTCCCTTTTGTCTCAACAGGCAATTAATGCTTCATAATGAGGAAAATAACTGCTACGATACCTGCAGTATAAGATCCAGATTCCGTTACAATTTTTATATTCTGTGCCGAGGGGGAGAGCATTTTTGGAAGGATCTGATTTTAAATTCTGATATGTTTTTAAGGTTTGCATCGGGAGTATGGTCTGTCTCTATTCTTCCTTTAATTTTTACGGGGATGACACCAAGGGGTGGGCAGGAGTTCCTTCTGGTCACCAAGACCAGGCTGGAGTGTCCAGGCTGTGGCTTTGATTGTCATTTGCTGCCGGAAAAAGTACTCTGTTCATACAGCTTCGGCCATCATGTAAAAGAAGACAAGTTCCCGCGAAACCAAATAACACGGTATGCTAGTTTATATATCCGTGCGCGGTAAAATACATATAATCACTAAAGTCATGAATCAATATTAGAAAAAAGATTCAATATAATTTATAAAACAATACTGGATAGTTATCCCCACCCAAATGTGTATGAACTACTATTATTAGAAAAAAAGTGGTGAAATAACTGTTTTCTCTGCAGGCGCGGCAACACTATGAAGTATGGAGTAAACATCCTACTCGTTGCTACGCAACAAAGTAAAGGTGAAATGAACTGTAGAACGTATGGGTTATAAGATGCAGATCCCCGCATTAATGTTGAACTCGCCGTGGGTTTCTTTTATCATAGATCACGATATTAACAGTCATGTCAACGAGTGGGTTGATGCAAGCATCGCTGCTGGTGGCGCCCCTCCGGTGTCTGATGGTTGCCGACCATTAAATAAACTGCCATAGACCCAGTGGCGTTTAATACCCACACTTTCAAAAATCAGGAAAAATACAACTCTCTCTGGTACAGTCTGTATCGTGACTTTGGGCGTGATGGCTACATACGGGTTTATGGCTTCTGACTATAGCGCCCCTTCAACAAGATATTGACGAAATGGGGAACCGCCAACATACAGATGGATAGCTCAGTTGATAGAGCACTGGAACGGTAAATCCGTAGGTCGCAGGTTGCTTTCTTTGTTCAGCTTTTTAAAAAATCCAAAGCGTTTGAGACACACATCAAATTAAAGTTTATTTCATTATCATTAAGTTGTTTGGAGGTAATTGACTGACTTTTGGGAGAATTTCCATCCAAAGATGATCAGCCCTAAATGTGTAAATCAACGGAGTGCGCCCCCCCCCCCCCAGCAACGCCGCTGGACATACAACCTAGGATATACACACCTCACGAAGACCATGTTGTTGCAGCAACCACCAGTAAATGAAGATATCTTTAATACGACGTCAAATTAAATCTTTTAAGAACAAAGTCAAGGGGTTTTCAAATCCTCGACTTTATGCCTCAAGTTCGGCCTCAGGAAATATTTGATCTCTGACTTTGTTGGCTCCGGCTCTTTGTGGGTCCATGTATGCTTCACATCTATTTTACGAGGCCATGTAGTATAGTAAGTTCAGTCTTAAATAAAATAAAAATTAAGAAAATCCTCTCCCTCTCCCATGAGTTCTGTCGATCAGGGTGAGCAGGTAGTTTTTTAATTTTGTATGAACTCGTACATATATTTGTAGACGGCATTTCGGTTGAACTTTCGGTTTGTGAATGGAGTTTATTACTCAATCTCATTTGGTTAGAAGCTTCGATATCGAACTGACAAGAAATAGAGGTACTTAACCTGCGCTATTTGATTTTGAACCCTCGCATTTGGAAAATTAACATTCGAAATTATATTGGTTTTTTTTTTTATTAATTATTCATAAATACCTCAGACAGTTAAGCTATTCCTATTGGTCGAGAGCCCGTCACGTGGCCAGTCTTTAAACGGATGATAAAGACATGGCTAGCTGGTCTTAAACACTTTTCCAGTGTCACAATAAAATGTGGACTCCTAAAAATCCAGTGCCTCTTACCGTTTCATTGGTTGAACGTTCACAATCCTCACGTAGGCATGCGCAACACTACAAGCGAGTCAGAATTTTATAGTTCTAAATTCAAAACGCAACGCCCCAGGTGCGTTCTGCGTGACATCGCGCAGAACATGCTACGCGCGCGTCAATCTCCATAAAAGGGTTGTTTACATCTTATTCGCCAGCTGAACACTCCATTATTTTGCTAGAGGGATGTTTCAAAAAGCATGAAGTGAACTTGTTGAACAAAATCGGGATTTTTTAAACGAATTATTTGATATTTTTTTACGGATAATGTATTTATGAATGGGAATAAATATGTGCTCGGTCGGTATTTATCACTCTGTTTAATACCGCTTAGAGTCTGGGTGCTGATAATTACCCTCGCCTCCGGCTCGGGTAATTATCAGCACCCAGACTCTAAGCGGTATTAAACGAGTGATAAAAACCTCCGGAACACACATTTATTCCCTTATTAAAGGTATAAAGATAACTAATATTTTGTGACGATGGTGGCAAGGAATAAACAAACCGTGCCAAATACGAACACACCAGACCTAAAGCTTGGATGGACTCAAAGCCAAATCCATAGGTTAGTATAGTGGAGTGTAGTTTTTTATTGGCTGTTTATTTTTCACAACAGTTTATGAATTTCGTCATTTTTACGTTTCTTTCTGTGTAGAATATTAACCTTATGCTGACACCGGTGACAAATCAAAGTCAACTCTGATCAAAGGAATAATATGGATCCCGCCACGAATCACGTGCAAGCATTGCATCACCTAACAACATAACCTTTGGGTGCATGCTGCAATCGCCCCATGAGGGCACATGTAAGCAACCACTTTGCTTCACTTGAAACGCCAATTGACTTCATAAATGAAAGATATAGCTAGGTGCGTTCGATTAGCTTTCCCGTGTACATTTACCCGAGGAAGCCACTAAATGAAGGTGATGGAATATTTGAGTGAATTCGCCTGGCATTCTGGGAAACTTAGGGTCAAAGGTTGTTGATAGGCGGGACTTTACTGAATTTAAATACACTCGTCTGGTCTGCCGATATCATTGCAATTTTTTGTATCATTGCAACAAGATTAATATAATTTCTGGAATCGAAAGATATATGCTCCGAATGAGCACAAATAGGCCTATGCGTGATAAAGATCACGTAGATAATCGGGAATGTTTTGAGTTTCAAATCTCTACTGAAGCCAGTTCGGTATCCCAACTGCGCATGCCGCACATCAAGATTTGAATATTTTTCTTTCGGGATAAACATTTCATCTTATGCGTACAAACCGGGGTACCAGCAAAATTTAAGAGATCGTCATGTTTTGTGATAACAGATAAAAAACATTTGGACAGCGAAGTGTTTTTAGGTGTCTTGTGTGTCTAAACTTTGTGTGAAGGAAAGTTCCATCTCTTTTCGATTGCACAAGAATCACACAGAATGCAGATTTGGTTGCCACGTTCCCCATATCCTTGGTGTGCATTTTTCTGCCGCGTTTATCCCGAGGAAAAAATAGTCGAATCTTGTTGTGCATCAGACTATTTTGGAATACCGAACTGGCTTATTGTATCACTTCGTATTCAATGCAATCTAGCCACAAACACGTCGGGGTACGTCGATACATCCGGGAAGCCACAGAGATCCGCTCGCGAGCTGAGGCACTGGTGGTTGAAACCGGGGCAGCCATGAGTATCACGTGAAGGTTAATTGAACGCTCTCGTGTAAATTTGCTTCCACGAGTAAGTAGCTACTCGAACGCATCCACAGGGACTGACGTCACGTGTTTCTACACATGATTGCTCGTTCGCGTGAGAAGGTACAATACAACAAAAGTCTCGACCTTTTGATAATAACCAATTGAACCTTGAGTTCTTTCTACATCTGAACTTTAGTTCAAGAGTACATAAAAGTGGGTAGCGATTTTGTCGTACATTTCTTTTGGTATTTTGCTGTCTTGCTAGAATCAACGCAAAATGAAGCAGATTTGGCTCGTATTTAGCCTGTCTATGGCGGCTCTGTTAATGGTGACAAGTGCACAGGACGCGAACGGTACCGGTAAGTCAACCGACAACATATGGGGATAAAATCGTGGTCATTGAATAAGAAGTATAACAGCTAGTGACGGATTTTCAACTTTTCGTTATCCTTAAATGATTATTTCAGTTGGTGAAATAACGAATAACGCTCAACTCAAACCCTGTAAAGAGAGCTGGGCAGTTCTATTCTATAGTGTGACCCCGTAACGCCAACGAATGGCCAAAATGATGGCCCATTGTTTAGACCAGATGCATGAAGATACTTCCAGTGAAAATCCATTCTTTTACGACTTTACAAAGCTTGCCTAGTATTGTTTAAATGGATTGATAGGACGTGAATTTTACAATGAATGACAAGGAAATTCCACTCTCTATATTGTATGAAAACTAGAGACGCCCTGTTTGGTTTATATTTAAATCGCACCTTTTAAGCATTCTTTTCATGACAAATTGGGGCGCTGGTGCTGGGATGTCACCAACAGTTTAAAGAGTTTACTATTAAAAATTATAAAACCCCAAATGTGGCTCAGTATTGTTTCTAATGTTTGCTTAATAACTGAATGTAACGAGGAATGACAATGAAACAGAAAGTTGACCATGGCCAAACCCCAAAATTCTGGTATGTTTTCGATGCCAAAGCGGCTGTTACTCTTATGAAGCCTGTGCCTGATTAGTATCACGGTTTCGCTCACGAATATGGACATTCTCATAGCATAAAACCTACCAGCCGTCGAAAACATATATCAACCAGCAGTAACCAGACTGAGTGAAAATAAGTTAAACGGGACACAAGAGTATATACTCTATTGTACGTCACACTGAGAACTATACGGGGCCATCTAAGAATTTACCATCGGCCACGCGGGAAAACATTGATGATTTACTCTTTGTTGGCTTAGCTCCTTGCTAACTTGCTTTATAAATGATCACGAATTCTTTATTTGTCTAGGCACAAAGCCAGGGACATGTCCCTATCCCCGCTTTCAGTGGGGTGAAACCTGTCCTCCATCTAAACCGGGCTGGCAGAGGTGCACAAACGACAGTCAATGTCCCGGGGATCAGAAGTGTTGCAGTTATTGGCGAATCATGATAACTGATTGCTACGTCTGCTTGCCACCAGAACCTGTACCGGCCGTAACCGAATCATCAGCCATGCCACCTGCTAAACCAAAGACTCCGGTTCATACCCCGTCGGTCCTGCCAACCAACAAACCTCCAGTGACGCATCCCGTCCACAAACCAAACGGTAGATTTTGGTCTTTGATTTTCCTTGAGCACCCACCAAGGGCGGATCGGGGGGGGGGGAGGCCAACGGGGGCTATGCCCCCTCCCGAAAAACCCCCACAAATGAACCCATTTTTTGGTTTAAATTAACGTCGCAGTAAAGGCAGGCACTGTGTACGCCACCATCCATTCCGAAAAAAAAACCGGTTATGAGTGGTCAGAAATTGCCTCAGATCGCTCCCTAGAGCATCTAGAATCCTCAAATGCAAACTGCCAGGCGAGACGATCGGCATGGTTGATTACGGTTCAACTTTGAACGGTTGAACTTTGCCGACTGTTCCGCGCACTGTCTGCGCAGTCCGCGTAAGCTTAACATCGATATGGAAACATGCAGATTTAACGGATGTATGACGTGAACTTCACGGTGAACAAAATGAAAATCCCATTCTCTTAATTTTTTGAAAATGATAAGACAACATTTATGGTTAAAGCATTCTTTTTTATGACAACTGGGGTCTCTGGTGTCGGGATGCCATCAACAGTTTAGAGATGTGAGTGTACAATAGCAACCCAAAATGTGGCTCACTAATTTCTAATCTTTGCTTAATAACTGACTGCAACGATGCATGGACAGTAAAACAGACAGTTGGCTATGAAAAAAAAGGGCGAAATGCTGGCAATTTTTGATGTGATATGCCAAATCAACCAGCTGTATCTTGTGCCTGAACAGTATCGCGGTTTTGCTCATGAATATGAGAATTTTCATAGCATGAAACCTATGCAAGCTCTCGAAAACTCATTGAAACCTGCAAAACGCAGATTGAAAATAAGTTGAACGGGACACTTCAAGAGAGTGTTTTAAAGGATCAAATTTAAATAACAAATTATACGGGCCCTCTCAAAACTCACCATCGCCCTGGCTGGAAAACATTAAAATCACTTATTTTGTTCAGCTACCTTCTTTTTGAATGATCATGAATGCTTTATTTCTCTAGGCACAAAGCCTGGGACATGTCCCTATCCCCAATTTCGATGGGGTGAAACCTGTCCTCCAGAAGAATCGCCCTTTCAGCAGCTATGTAAAAACGACAGTCAGTGTCCCGGGGACCAGAAGTGTTGCAGTTATTGGCAATTCATGAATTGCTACGTCTGCTTGCCACCAGAACCTGTACCGGCCGTAACCGAATCACCAGCCATGCCACCTGCTAAACCAAAGACTCCGGTTCATACCCCGTCGGTCCTGCCAACAAAGAAACCCCTTGTGACGCATCCCGTCCACAAACCAAACGGTATATGTTGATCTTTGAATAATCTTGAGCATCTGCCATGGGCTGATTGAGGGGGGGGGGGGGGGATGGCAACGGGGGCCATCCAACTTTGAACGGTTCTTTGCCGACTGCATGTTCCGCGCACTGTCTTGCGCAGTTTGTGTAAACTTAACGTCGATATGGAAAGCAGACTTAACGGATCTATGACGTGAATTTCACTTTGTACATAATGAAAATTCCATTCCTTAAATTGCATAAAAATTATGAGACGCCTTCGTTAGAGCATTATTTTCATGACAACTGGAGGTGCTGGTGTCGATATGTCATCAACAGTTTAGAGATATTAGTGTATAATATTAGCAACCCAAAATGTGGTTCATCTTTGCTAAATAACTGACTGTAACGATGAATCGACAGTCATTTAAACAGAAAGTTGATTACAGAAAAATGCCGAAATTCTGGCAATGTTCGATGCCAAATCAGCCAGCTGAATATGCAAATTCTCATGGCATAAAACCTACACAAGCTCCCGCAAAGACATTTAAACCGGCAATACGCTGATTGAAAATAATTTTTTGAGTGTATTTTAAAGCATCACATTGAAATCAAAAAAGTATACGGGGCCCTCTAAAAACTCACCATCGTTCTCACAGGAAAAGATTTTACTATTTACACTTATTTTGCGTAGATATACTTGCTTTTTAAATGATTACGAATTCTTTATCTCTCTAGGCACAAAGCCAGGGACATGTCCCTACCCCCAATTTCGATGGGGTGAGACCTGTCCTCCAGAAGAATCACCCTTTCAGCAGCTATGTAAAAACGACAGTCAGTGTCCCGGGGATCAGAAGTGTTGCAGTTATTGGCGAATCCTGATAACTGATTGCTACGTCTGCTTGCCACCAATTCCACCTATCCCCGCCGTAACCGAATCACCAGCCATGCTACCTGCTGTACCAAAGACTCCGGTTCATACCCCGTCGGTCCTGCCAACCAACAAACCTCCAGTGACGCATCCCATCCACAAACCAAACGGTATACATGTTGATTTTAGATGATTCTTGCTGAGCATCCACTATTTATGCACAAATCTCCAAGAATTCAATTTCTTGCTTTTCACGTGATTTGTCCACTAACTTGCAGTGTCATATAACAACACTTAGAGCATAGTCGCCTTTTTATACAGGATGAGTAAAAAAGACGAGTTCCAAATGTCGGGAACATATATTTTTTGTTGAAGTTCTGCCTCCCTGCAGCACTTCCAAAATCTAGTATATGAAAGCCCAATTCATAAGCTTTCTATTAGTACAAGAAATCACTCAAAGACATATACTTTTCAAGCTACGGAATTTTAAACACAACCACCGTTTTAAAGTTTTGTCCAAGGATCACAAAAAAGGTTCTTTCATCAACGAAAAGAAATCACATAGGGATGTGTGTGAATTGTTTTCGTTTTGCTGAAAGAACACTTTTTTGGTGATCCCCTACGGGAACTTTAAAATGGGGGTTGCGTTTAAAATTCCGTAACTTGAAAAGTACATGCAGGGGCAGATCCAGGAATTTTCGCAGGGGGAGGGGGTTCATCGAAAAAAAAACACCGGACACTTGGCCTCCGTAAAATCAAAAAGGGGGGGGGGGGGGGGGGGGGGGGGGGGGGGGGGGGGGGACCATACTTTCAATGGGGCGCTGTTCAAATCCAACGATCACAGAATATTCTGCATATTCCCCCTAACTAAGCTGGCTCAGTACGTATTTTGCACAAGGGGAACATTATTACTTGCTAAAAACATGTGGGTGTCGGAGCAGGAGGGGGGGGGGGGGTTCGCATTTTGTTCATGAATTTCTATGGAAAGAAAATTGACAGAGTTAGGGGCGGCTTGCCCCCCCCCCCCCCCCCCCCCCCCCCCCCCCCCTCTGGAACCGCACATGACATCAGTTACTTGTACTAAAAGAAAGCTCATTAACTGGGCTTTTGTATCCTACATATTGATAATGATACATGCAGAACTTCATTAAAACATTGGTCCTGCTATTTAGCTTTCCTTTTTTGGACAGACCCGGTATAAAAATTCTCCAGATTTGGTCCGTGAAATAACTTTGAATAATTATACTTCCGAGTGCAAATGGAAACTTGCATGCAGCTTCTGTAATACACAGTTCTCTATACCAGCCGGTCAAGTTTATCAAAGTGTCTGTACATTCTCCTCTTAACGGCAATGCACACCCATTGCTACATCAAACAATGAAATTGCCAATTGTAACTTGCAAGTAAACAATACCATTATGTGAAATCGTTGCTCCTGCAGCTGTCGTCTTCAAGAAAAATGGCATTACAATCATTTGCTCGAGATGGTATAACTTATAGGACCAAACAATTGCGAGAAAAACGGCTATTTTCAAATACTGCCCTCACGTACTTGATACTCACATACTTTTTTGTATGTGAGTATGTTTCTGCATTCAATAGGGGACGTTGAACAATAGAGGACAATAGGGTCTCCGATTCCCGAGAGGTCCCTAATTTGGATTCGTGTACAAAACATGTGGGAGATCTTCCTAAAAAGTTTAAGTACAATCAAAAGAGGGAGAATAGGGGGTCCTTGATTGCGGGCAAATACACACTTGGGGGTGTGTGTGTGCGAAATGTTGTCCATTACATTTTACTTTGAAAGTGCCTTACATTAATTTTGGTATGCCCAGTCAATATTAGTTTTGTCTGTCCTAATTGTAATGGCAAATTTCATACAAGCCTTTCCTTGTTTGGTTTGTCACCACTACTGGTCTTTATCATGCTATTTATTTTCATTTCCTGATAACGAGGAAAGAAATGTTTGAAAAGAAATTTTTTTTTTCGTATTTCTCTAGGCACAAAGCCAGGGACATGTCCCTACCCCCAATTTCAATGGGGTGAAACCTGTCCTCCAGAAGACGGACCCTTTCAGCAGCTATGTAAAAACGACAGTCAGTGTCCCGGGGATCAAAAGTGTTGCAGTTATTGGCGAATCATGATAACTGATTGCTACGTCTGCGTGCCACCAGTTCCATCTGCACTGGCCGTAACCAAACCACCAGCCACGCCAACGACTAAACCAAAGAGTGAGCTAAAAAAAATACGTTGAAACACTTACTAAATGGATCAGTTCACAGTGGTAGTACAGAAAGCAAACTCACCTTCCAATGTGGACTGATGCAAATTTTTTTAATAACAGGAAGCACGTCTCGAAAAGCCGAACGGGTTGAGCCCCCGACAACATTTCAAAGATGACTTAATCTTGATATTTGCAAGAAATGGGCTAGATCTCCACCACTTGACTCTCATCTTAAACTTTGTCGATTGCTAAAGACATACCTAAAGTAGAATTGGTCTTGGTAAACAGATCCAACATGAAGACAAGGGTAAATCTTGAAGAAATAGTTTAATTTTTAATTACAAGAAACCAAACCAGATGTTAAAATTTCAGTGTCAATATGAGAGTCCGATTGCACCGCTTGTTTCTCTTTGTTTTAGTCATGGGTTTAAAGGTACAATTTGAATGAGTGCAATTAAAAAGTGATCAAATCTGTTTTCAATTTATTTTTCCGGGAGAAATTTCAGTGATTTTTAAGAAGGGAACTAGGCCTAAATATGTTTTTCTTTGCGCAGTCTTATTTTGCGACATCTCTTCCTTTTTTAATGGGAGTGTCTTAGCCCCATTACGTCATGATGAAAACATAAACAACCTCATCATCATCTTCCTGTACTGTACAGAAACCTCCGCTGGAGTATACTGTCACATTGCTTGAAGTGCAAATAGGCAGGTGCAGACATAACTCAGGTCTAAAATAGACAAATATGTGCAAGTAAAAAACAGCTACACTGTACATGTATTTGGGACAGCTTGGCTTTTTATGGTTACACCGTTCACTGGTCTTTATCCTGGGTTGGTGACTCGACAACTTGCTGGGGCAGTGAGCTCCACAGGCGGATGGTGTCTGGGAAGAAGGAGCCCTTCAGTAAGGTTGTACGGGTAGATGGGATGAGAAGTTTCTGGCTGTTGCCTCTGGTAGATGAGTTGACAGGGATAAGGTGGTTGTCGGGGACGTCGATGAGTTTGTTGTGATCCGGTACTTCATTGAAACTTTGGAGATGGCTCTTCGGTGTTGCAGAGGCTCCCAGCCCACGTTACTCTGCATGATGTTGACACTGCTGTCTCTGGAGTAGCTATTCATGACGTATCGGAGACAGCACTACGTTGAACGGATTCGATTTTGGTGACGTTCTTTTTAGTGGAAGGATCGCATACGCAGCTGGCCTATACTCATTGCGATAGACCGCACAAAGGTGATAAAGGAGCGGGACTTGACTTCACGAGGACAGCAGCTCGTGTTGCTTCGTATACGTAGGAAACCAAGGGATCTCCTCGTGTACTTCTTGGAGGTGGCGTCTTCATGTCTATTCCGTGATAAGTTGTCTGTGAGTTCTACGCCTAAGGTATATAGCTGATGGTACTGCCTCCAAAGGGTGGTTGTGGATGGAATAAGTGAACTTTACCGTTCACTTTTGATTTAATTGTCTCGTTCCAGTTCTGAACAAGACGGTTTGAGAAGTGTTTTTCACAGGATGAAACTCCAAAGTGCATGGACAACAATCCATCCCTATTTTTAAATTTGTTTTTATTTTAAAGGCACCAAGCCCGGCACGTGTCCCTATCCCCACTTTGGTTGGCGCCGGCGTCAGACGGCACCTCCACCGTTTGCTCAGAAGCGTTGTTCTACCGACAGTCAGTGCCCCGGTACTCAGAAGTGTTGCCAAGCCTCTAGGCGACTAGACATGACCGGCCGTTACGTCTGTTTGCCACCAGTGTCATCTAACTCAACAACTGTCAAAGTACGAATCATCAAGACCACAGAAGAACCAAACGGTATACATTTATAGAAAATACACCTTCATTTCCCAGATCTCTTTTAAGTTTTGTGGCTGTGAATATTTTGTCACTTTATTTTTTACATTTTGCCCAAATTGTTTTTCTTTAAGAATTTACTTCATTCGTGTTTACAAGTAAATTCAAGCTAAGTACGATACGAGTAAAAACCTTACGACTGTTGCCCTTGCAGGGAGTGATCCAAGAATTTTGCGGAGGTGGGGGGGGGGGGGTGTCAGGCCCGTCACATTTTTTTTATGTCCGATTGTTGCAGACAGGCGGACATATAGGCAATTTTTATCATTATAATTGTTATATTTTTTTGTGGTGTCAGAGCGGGGGTGGGGGAAGGGTGTTTTGATCCCCAAATCCTCCTCTTGATTTGCGCCTGCGGTGCCCTAGCACAATAGAGGACTAGAGAAACTAGCCAATAAACGCTTTACAGACATGAAGCCACTGCTCAAACTAGTCTCGTGATGTTGAATCCAAATAGTGGAGAACATTGGACTTAGGCCTCGTAAGAAGATAAAAGCCACATATTTCAAAGTTCTATGAGCTCGTACCTAATAAGTTAATAATCAGCAGACAAAAAACTAGAACTTGAAAGCAAAATACATAAACAGATCGTTGGCTTTTTAATAATCTTAATATAATATAATTTAAAGTCAACTTTTACATCTTTTTTTTGAGCGCAAGACCATCAGCCGTGCGCCTTTAGGTCTTCGTTTTGAAAATCGAGAATGGCATGACTATATACATGTAGGCGGTATATATACAAGCTACTATTCCGATTCGAAATCATTTGGCGGCTTTTAATAACAAACATAGTTTACACGCCGAATGGACTAAGAGGAATGATCAAGAAGTCTTTTCTTTATTTTTGACGTGATTCTTTATTTTTGACGGCTATTCTTTATTTTTGACGTTATTGGTTATCCAATATTATTCAATGTTATCGAACAAAAGAATGAGATCCACTGCTTTTCATAGATCTTTATTTAACCCCTTAAACGGGGAACCGTAACAAAAAAAAAAAGAATTAAGCGAATTATGTGGCTTCATCTTGAATCACGTGATTTTGAAAATCAGTCAGCTACCCGAAATGAATGGTTCAACCACAGCAGTATAGGATTAGGTCTTGAGCGGTTCTAGCAGGGAACTTGAGATGGGGGGGGGGGGGAGAGAAAACAGAGTCGTTGCAAATTCGAAAAGCTGAGGGAGATCTCATTTGTTTGCTTCAGGAGTTCTTTTTTCCTTTCTTTTAATCTCTCAATCAATCAATCGATTGCCAAAAGTAATCCCCTTTCCCCAGATCCTCAGCTCAGCTGAGATTGTAATCGTGGGATAGAACCTGGAATTCCCTTTTTCACTTACAATGACATATCATTTGCACCCTTAATTTCCTTTCTTGACTCTCTCATGAACAGTTCCACACGAAGGTGTTTGTCCAGCAGTAAACAAGTCTGAACCGGTGTTGTGCGTAGACCCTCCACCGTGTAGGACTGACCAGGACTGCATGTCGTTCGAGAAGTGTTGCTTCACCGGTTGCAGCCACATGTGCGTGGAAAGCACTCGGACTCCGCCTATACCTCTCTCCCTAATCGGCGATCCTGTGCAACCATCAGGTGGTACGTTGCAGTCTTTTTATTAGCCACGTGCACGCTGAACACACCCCGTATCTGGTAGGGTACATACCTATGTTCCCCAATATATGTTCCTCAATACCGATGTTCCCCAATACCGATGTTCCCCAATACCGATGTCCCCCAATACCGATAATCCCCAATACCGATGTTCCCTAACCCTAACCATAACCCTGACCATCTAACCCTAACCCCTAACCCGAACCTTAACCCTAACCCTAATCCTAAGGATTTCGGAGAACATCGGTATTGGGGAACATAGGTAGTGGGGAACATCGGGTAGATCCTATTTGGTGTTGTTTCAGGGCCTTTTATTTTCATTATTATGCAAATGAGCTTAATGTTTGCATAGCATTTCATGCAGTGATTTTCTTCGCTTTTAGGCATTTTAGAGGCTTCTTTTGTAGTGTTGATTAGTTGTTTCTCTGTCTTTTTATACCTTTAAAAAAACATGTTGATTGTCATTGTTCTTTCAGGTTGCACATATTATGACGGTCAGCACTATGAGAACGGCAGGGTATTCAGACCTTATGATGACGAGTGCACACTTTGGTAAATTGAATTCTCATTTTGTCTGAGCTGAATGGATCATTAAATCATGGCAGTGCAAGAAACAATAACCTAACATTTAAAAACTCCACAAGAGGCTAAGTGACATTAACGTGTGCCATTAAGTTCATTTTAACTGTTTCCTCCTACAAAATTCTATTGGCAAAACTAGACAAGCGTTGACATGGACAAATCGGTTTTTTTTATGAATTTAGAGAAAAAATATAGGTTTGCAGCCACTTTCCTGAAATGTTCATTCACTTCTGAAAATCAATTTAGTCTGAATATGAATGTACGTTGTTAATCCCATTTCTATTCAACAAAGTGCAATCGTTTTCATTGTCCGTGCATTCAGTTTTGAGAAACAGACGGCCAATTACGTTACCAGTGTGGATTTTTACGCAAGCATACCTTTTCGCGCAGAGTTCTGGAATACAGTTTCGTGACTTTGCAATCAAAAGTACGTTTTTCTCTTTCAAAATAGCAGATTACATCACAGAACATTAAACTAAAAGTGAAATAGAATGGTCAATGTTTAAAATCGCCCTCTAAAAGCGAAAAAGAAGTCTTGTAAACGAATCTGAATGGACATAAACGAAAGGTGCTGCTCAATCACTTAATTGATTGAACTGAAATGGAATCGAATGCTAGCAAAAATGTAACGCGTGCTCAGAGCGATTCTCAAATTCAGACGAAAACGAATGACCGAATTTCAGAAGTGAATGAACATTTTAGGAAATTAGCCGGGAAAAAAAAAAACGTTTACTTAGATAACTAGGAATCCAATACATGATAATCTAGCTATCGATCTGCTCCTATAAATAGAAAGAAAAACAAACAATTCCTTCCAGAAATTCAACCAAGAATTTTTTTTAAGTACGACCATAAAGAAACACATTTTTCACAGTGGGAGTTTTTGACAGAAAATCCAGGAGAATTAATTAAAGATTAAACGAACCCCGTTTCAGTCACTGACTTATGCCATGATACTAACCCTAGTAAAATGGGGCGAAAAATGATAAATGGAATGCTTAAGTTCCTAAATTTGTTCTCAAATTGACTTCAATTGCAGTGAAAGCATCGTATGCAACCCCAGCACCCCTTCTCTGAAGCCCCTTTATTATCACACACCACCCAGTGGCGTAAATCTATGCCGACCAGTGGGGGTGGGGTGGGGGATGATCTAAATCCGGCCGTGTAAATTCCAAAAGCGGGGAAGGGGGGGGGGGTGTACGCCACATTATACTATAGTGGCGCTCTTCAGGATAAAGATGTATATCAATATGCATACTCGCGCTTACAGTTTTAAAGCTTTTGTACTTTGTTTCTTCACTTTTCAGTGCCATTGAATACATTTTAGTTGTTGGGACGTTCGGAAAATGCCTCGAAATCCGCATTTTTTTTCTTATTACAAAAAAAAATGGGGGAGATGATTCAATAGCCCCCCCACCCTCGGCCAAAAAGTGGGAGAGGGATGTATACCTCCCATCCCCCGGAATTTACGCCACTGCCTCCCCCCCCCCCCCTTCCTGAAAGCAAGATCCGCCCCAGTAGAGTAAATTTTTGTTTATAATAACGGAAATATATGAGCTCACTTATACTCACAAAACGGCGCATTGTCACCATATTAAGCGCCCCGAACAATGTTTGGATTCTGGATGCTCTGTGGTGCAAACTGAGTCAATTTCTGACCACTTTAACCAAATATTTTGAGGAAAAGATGGTGGTGTGCATAGTGCCTGCCTTTATTGCGACATCTCTTAAAAGCACAAAGAAAACTGTTCTTTTTTAGGGGGGGAGGCATGGCCCCCGTTGGCCCACTCTGGATCCGCCCTTGACCATCTCCCCTTAAATAGTTAATCGTTGCTTATTATGAAGAACATTAAATGGCGTTTCATCAACTTGTTTGTGTATTTTTGTCTCAACAGTCAGTGCTTCAACGGGGAATATAACTGCTACGATACCTGCAGTAAGTGATGTAGGAAGAGAGTGTTTTTTTTAAGGATCTGATTTAACATTCTGATATGTTTTTACGGTTTACATTAGAAGCACGGTCTGTTTCTTTTTATTTCTTTAATCGGGGATCAGGTGTGTTTTTAATGAGAAAATCTTCATGGATTTCTTTTATCATAGGCCATGACTACGACTACAGTCACGTCAACGCGTGGGTTGCTGCTGCCATCGCCGCTGGTGGCGCCCTTCTGATTAGTCTGACATTTACCATGTCCGTGGTAAGGTTACGTGTCACTCGTCTCGAGCTCTCATCGGGGTACAAACCAGTAATTTGGCCAACGAGCTCATGAATAAAAGTTATTCACTCAAATTATTCTATATTAGGGAGTACTAAGAGCCATTGAATTGGGGGATTGATGACACTGTACCTCTGTCCTGGACTTGGGGCTTCGAATTCTGAGCATTTTGGATGCACATTGGTCCGAAAGTGGCGCTTTTTAGCAATGTTTTGGAGTCAACAAGCTTGAGAGGATCTGCGACAAATGCTCACAGATATTCAAAGGTTCGATAGGCCATCGGCTGATTAAGCAATTTCAAGAGGAAAAAGTGGGAGGGGGGGGGGTTGATTTGGGCATTGGGACCGGCAGGGCTAAAACTCGAGTAAATACCGCCATGAGGGCGCTTCATAGCTGGGGAATGCGCAAAAAGGCCAGATGTCGATCTTAGATATATTTTTCTTTCAAATGTTTGGATGTAATATGAGTTATGGATGCTTCGACTTGCCGTAAAAGTGGTTTGGGGAAGAATAACTTTTGTGCATTAAAGGGGCCAACCCAGTAAGAAGGTGTCTGGAAATTTTAGGTGTACCCATATCCGAAGGATTTTGTTGACCTGGGTCAACACTTCCGTGTGCGCATGACAGGTGCGCATGGAACGTACCTATCCTAAATAGACTTGGTGCTTCAACAAGTGTCATTATACCTCTACTCTGTTATTCGTTACATTTTAGTGTTGCTGCTTGAAGTGTTGTTGTAAGGACCCTCCTCACCAGACCATAGTGATGCAGCAACCACCAGTAATGCAGGTATGTTACGACGCCTTTATTTAAAACAAAGCATAAAGCACAGAAAAGAGGGGTTTGGAATCCACAAGTTTAACTCAAGCTAGTTTTCAGGCAATCTTTTAGATTCCTGACAGGGCGGGTTCCGGGTCAAATGACGGTGTCCGGGTTTTACTTCGCAAACGTCCCATATTAATTTTCATGAGGTCAGGGGCTAGAGATTATTTACGTCAAAGGTTAGACATAAGATGTGTCTAAATGATTCTTGATATGAAGCCAAGTCAAGAGGTGCATGTTTGAGTCAACAACTATTTTTAATATTTTTTTTTTGTTAAGTATCAACAGGGATCACAACCAGGTAACTTATACATCGGACGTCCCAATGAGGAGAAGCAACCACTGACATCTATGGCTTAAGACAAAGGAAAAGACGGTGTTAGTTAATGTACTGAGCACGTGACGCCTTTAATTTGCAGTGGCGTAATTTGTGCCGGGGACTGGGGGGATGGGGTAAGACTAAAATCACAAAGTTGCCCGGCCGTATAGAGATTCCAAAAGCATTTTGCTTTGGTTCTTATTTTCCTTTTTCAGTACTATTGAACACTTGTTTTTCCATTTTCAGTACTATTGAACACAGTTTGATTGTTGGCAATTTCGTAAAATACCTTAAAACAAGCCTAATTTGGGGTTTCCCAACACGACCAAGTGGGGGATAATCCAATGGCCCATCCCCCTGGTCAAAAGGTGGGGGGATATATACCTCCCATCCCCCGGTATTTACGCCCCTGACCGTTTGCAATAATGTACAGTATTTGAGCTAAAAATTGATTGACTGAACTTATGACGATGATGTTGATGTGCAGCGCATCTGCTGAATTTACTGACATCTTTTAACATTCCAAAGTAATTACTAACTTTTTGCTCCGAATTTCAGAATTGTATTCCATGTATATGCAATAACTTTGTGATCGAAGTATTTTCACTTGGACAAAACTGCCCAACTGTTAAAAGTACTTGCTTACATTATAAATAAACACTTTAATCGTTCAAGTAGTATCTCCAGCATGCAAATCCTCAAATCTTACTTACTTTAATCGTTAAACTTTATGAGTGGGATGAAAAAAAACTTGCGACTTTTGTTTTCATTTTGAAGTTGACTAGGGAATTACCAGGTTTATCCCAAAATAATCAACCATATCAGTATGATCGGCTATGCCTGGCACGAAACGCCGATGAAACAAAAACTAGCTTGACAGGCAATACAAAAATGCGGCTGAAGTTATTATTTCATGACAAATAACGAAACAGGTAATAGCTTGGAAGTTTAGCAACATTTGCCGATTTGTTCTATATAGTGTTACCTTTAACGAAACAAAAGGTGATTTTATTTTGCATAAAATAAATTACAGGTTGCGTCAAAAGAACAATAATAGTTCCAAAAAGCCTTGAACAATAAGATTTTGTTTACCAAAGGCAGATGCCCCTAAATATTATCATGTTTAATTCATTGAATAGCAATATGATTTTATTATCACAGTTAATGAAAATAAATAAGTATATTTGATTTGTTTTGTACTGTTGGTTTGGAAAATAAAGATGCATCACAGCGTAAATTGGAAAAGCAAAAGTGGAGTTGTTGAATGTCTCTTTTCTTTTCATTAACTTGTAGAATACATTGGAGCCATGACATTTTACCATCTTGATGTGAGATGCTAATGCTATCTCATTTCGGCATCTTCTGAGTACTCAAACCAACCCGCAAAAGTTGTATCGTATCTTGCAAATATTAGTACATTTATTTCATTTTCGGAAAGTTACTGGGTGACTCTTTATCATTAGCCTTCTTTTTCAGATATGACGGCCTAATGAAAGAACGACAGTTGCTTCGTTTAGATGAACATGTAAGACGAATAATATAAAGCGCCATCCAACAGGCCGACAATCCGTCCGCAGAGCTCATGATAAAAGCTTTATATATACTCCAATTATTCTATGTAAAAGAGTTATGAGAGCCATTGAATGGGAAAATTGAATTATTGCACGTACTGTACCTCTGGTCTGGACTTGGGGCTTTCAATGCTGAGCATTTTGGATGCAATTGGGTTCGAAAGTGGCGCTATTTAGCCATGTTCTTGAGGGATCCTTTATCAAAATGGCGACCTATCCAGTTCTGGAAACATCAGTGTTTTGTGGTATTCTTTGGGTGAGGATTTCTCCAAAAAGACCACGGTAAACCCACCAAAAATTGAAAAGAATCTGAAAGAAGACATGTTGATCAATTTTTTTGTGCAGCCTGAACACCTGTGAGAGTATTCTAAAAAGAATTTTGAAGTATTGGGATTTAATAGCGGTGTTTATGGTAATTTATTTGCTTGGGTGCAACCCTATTATTCAAAGGTTCGACTCTATATGGGGAACCGAATTCATCAGTCCCAGGTGCTGGTGAGTCATATGAAACTATTAAACATGCAGTTAGTATTTGTGTGACTCAATTTTCTTTTTTGGGAGGGGGGGGGGGCTCCCATTATCTATACATCAACGAAGTCAAAGGTGAGGTTTGTTTGTTGAGTAATTTGTTTGTATCTACAATCTCGTGGTAAAGTGTCAGTTGAACTTATCGACTTATCTTCACGAACTTTTCAAAGTTATGAACTTTATCGATTGAATCTGTATCAAACGCAATGGAAGGAGTAGAGGACAGTCGTGTGACTATTAATCTCGACTGCCCGTATATCTAAAGTTTTCTTTGTTTTTTCTTCACAAGTCGATTGTGTCATTTACTCAAATGGAATATGACCTCACAGTGTGGTGTAGCAAGGTCATTTTTATTGTGGGAGGGAGTTTGTAAAAAGGGCACCCGCACTTCCGTAAAAATAAAAATGGGAGGGAGAAGGGGAGGGGGAAGGGGGGGGGGGGACTAGTACCCTCTTACGACGGGGGCGCTATTCATTTCGGACAATCATGGACAAGATCAGACAATATATGGCGCTTTTAGAGCGGCACAATTGCCAAGGTTTGTGAGAAAATCCAAAAGGGCACTCATATTAGGCTACTGGTAAATGCCACTTTTTTTTGGTAAAAAATAGGGGGGGGTTAACTACTTGTTGAAAATGGGCACGTAAAGACAAAAGGGCAGTCTTTACAAAATATTAGCGGGATACCCCTTATAGTACCCCCCCCCCCCCCCCCCCGGCTACGTCACTGCGGCATTTGCATGCGCCGTGCATGAAAGCTGTCTAATCAACGCTGTTCTCTTAACCTAGAAAAATCAGGGCTGATTGTTTGACCTCTCTCCATAGTTTGTTCTGTATCGCCGCATATCGAACCTCACCGATCACTTGTACAATCCGTGCTCATTTAATTTGGCTTTTTTTTTCATTTAACGAATTTACACGATCGATTCTGATATGTGGTGGGAGCTAACACGCCTTGACTGAATGTCGGACCGCAAATAATTTAAATCATTCCATAATGTAAACCAGCTAAGCTAGGCAAACTCGTGGGCCGGTTGTTTTCGTTTGGTGTCTCATTTAACAGTGAAAAGGCCTAACTTATGTGTTACTTGAAAACCACACCCACTCCAATGAAAAAAAACCCATTATTTTTGTCTCGGTAAAACCTCGAAATATTCATCTTAAAAGTGCCTATCTAGATTTTTTTTTTATGCAGTTTGAAACACCGTCATAATGAGCGCTTTTATTTCGTCTGGAATGTGCTGTTTTGACCCTAAAACACGTTTCCCATATGACAACAGTTGGGGTAATAATAATAATAATAAAAGCTTTATTTACAGATGGTAGCCATGTCACCTGACAGATGATTTTCAATGGGCCATCTATCAATTAAAACATAATTAAAATTACATGACTTAATTAATTAGGGTGGTCGCCTTGATTCCAGTCACACGTTTCTTTTTCGGAATAGTTGCTCTAAGCACATTTTATAGGACTGGATTTCCCGCAGCGAATTGCGACCCTGATATTGACAGCTTCATTTGGATCATTAACTGGATGGCTTTGTACATTGCTAGAAATACATTGAAGCAACGAAAATCATGGCTGCCGCGTCCGAGGTAAAAAAAAGTTTTCAATATTTTCTCTCTATATATTTAAATATGGATTAAATATTTCTTTTAAACATGTTTAGTAGACAAATCAAAGACATCTTTTTTTTTTGGGGGGGGGGCGTTTTCCCCCACTTTGGCCCGTGCCGCTATTTCTGTCTCATTTTTCCAAAACGCCTATGGTGATCTATAACACTCATAATTTGCGATTTACACACAGAAGTACATGTGACCTTTAATTGGATGATGCATTGTCAGTGCAGCCGTTCCGTTCCAACAGACCGTTCAGAGTCCATAGGCCACTGAATATTCGTTTCTTTCTAAAAAGGCAATGACAGCAGTAACATGTGATAGTGATAACATTCATAATTTATATCAACGGGAAAATATCGATGGCGTCATGAAATAAAAATAATCTCCCTCTATACAAAAACATCACCACGGGTGATAAAAGATAGTGCAACCGAGACTGGTGAGCACAATATACGATGATGTGCCCATGGCAACGGCTAGTCGCTTACCTGTCGTCATGTGAGCATGATGGGTAGGGTGAGTCCAGCATCACACGCATTTATTCATTGTTGCCAGGCATAATATAATAGGGTATCCGTCTGACGCGCAATGTTAGATAAACCGATTTAATAATTTATAAGGATGTACAAATTGCTGTTTCCCAAACAAGTCGGTAGCTCTTTGTGATTTTCTTACAGCTCTATTCATGTACAGGGACAGACCTGTTCAATTTCTATATCTCCTCTTTTATGGAATCAGCTCCTTGTTTATCATTTTTTTGGCGCCCATTTTTGAGAAAGTTTAATACATAATCTTAACTGCATTTGTAAGTGGTGGTGGGGTGTTCGACTCATGTGCCGTGGTACATGGGTTCGAATCCTGACCGTGGGAACATGATTCTTGTGTTCTTGAACAAAGCACTTTACCATTATTGCTTCTTCCTTCGGATGGGACGTAAAGCAGTAAGTCCCGTATGTTGTGTAATGCACGTTAAAGAACCCAGTAACACTTATCGCTAAGAGAAGGGGTTTGCCCCGGTGTTTCTGGCAGTGGTTGCAATATGCGCCGCAGCATCTTGTAAACCATTACAAGGTGCTACCTAATGGGTCTCACATTTCTCATAAACTTTATTTACCTTTCTTTAATAATAGACATATTATCTCCAGCGCCTTAAGTACCTATAATAGTTGGTAGGTACGTGCGCTATATAAGACTCCGATATTATTATATAAGTAGGATATAATGATATTCTACTTTTGGACGGTAAAAAAAAAACCTTTTGCCCATCTGTCATTGTTTACTCATTTTGATTCTTGGTTATCTATATGTAATTAGCATCAGGCGTATTCGTAATGCATTTGCTTTTGTCCACGATCCATATTTAACTTAAAGTCCCAAGTTGATGTCATTGGCAGCCAATGAACAGACGGCAGTTATACCCGGCACTGCCTGTCACTGCGTCATCAAAGGACAGAGGTTAAGTTCATTGTAATAATTGTAATGACGTAAGCGTCAACCAATGGGAGAGTTCGGTCTGTCAGCACACCGTACAAAATAATATACGCGTATCCACTAGCCAGTAAGGTTGAAATAGTGCTCTTTGTGGATGTGTCTTTTTTTAGTTGTGGCGTACGTCCTTCGTTACGTCACCTTTTCTGGGGTCGGTATAAAAGGGGAATGTTGCGCGCGGTCAGGTTTATTTTGTAGTCGTAACCGCACTGGGGAAAATCACCATCAGAATCACCATTGACACACACACACAAATTAATGAATAAAATGGGGAAAATTGAGCTGATGCTTGTTGTGGTTGTTGCTGTTGTGTGTTCTGTACATGCGCAAGATGCTTGTAAGTACACATTTTGTTTCAGTAATGATTGTTACATTATTCTTTTCATGATTATTTAAAAATGACTGAGATTCGAGCACTGTTTTAATACATATGTTTTTCTACCATTGCTATTTAGTATGTATCAATCTTAATCGCTCTAACATATCAAGAAAAAAAAGAACACCTGAATGTTTTCTTGCGGAGTAGTATTTTTATGCCTGTGTAGCCAAAAAGTTGTGATATTTGAAGACATTAAAAAAAAAAGTTGTCCCATTTTCATTCCACAGTACGTAAAGAGGGAATATGCCCTGAATTTGCACTGAATAGTACCCACAATTTCAACGTGAGTTTCGACTGTCTGTCCGATTCGGAGTGCAGCTACGATCATAAATGCTGTCAGCGTCCCGATGGGGCTTACAGATGTACAGAACCCCTGCCAAACGTGACTAGCACCATGCGGACAACCACGGCAAATAGTAAGTATTCCATCTCAAATTCAGAAAAATAAAAGCAGGCTCCCAAGTTATGGAGCACACTTTGCAGTATTCCGTGGAATTGGAAAAGGATCGTGCTGAGGGAAACTTAGTTGACAACTCATCCATACACCATAATTCAAATGTTAAATAATTATATGTACATGTTGGGAAAAATTAAGGATTTCAATTGATTGATTGATTGATTGATTGAGAACAAGCCAAAGGCAATTCGTAAACTTTTGGCCGACGGCTGTTTTGTGGTTTGTTCGACAGATATTTTCTGCGCTTAGCAAATGAATGTGTTCACAGTGGTGGAAATGGGGAAAAGTTTAATTCGGGCCAGCATGGGCTCATTCTTGCTAGCAAATGTGTAAGTTTGTAATTTTCTCCCTCCAAATTGTTTTCTTTTTACCTCTAGAAGTCGTTAAGCCCGGTCAATGTCCCAGACCTATACACCTTTTTGGAAGACGCTGCCCTGGCGGACAAACCTGTTCCCATGATGGGGATTGTTACGGGAACAGGAAGTGCTGCCGTAGGTCCAGCGACGACGAATGCCCTTCGGTCTGCAGATACCCGGACTCCAACACCACCATGAGCACCATGCGACCGGTGTCTCCGTCATTCAAGCCGTCAAGCAAACCTCACCGTGAGTCTATACTGACCTAAATTGACTGATATTTGTTGTAACATTTACTACGCTATCGGTTATTTAATCGGTTCGGACCAGTAATGTAACAACTATTGACTGATAGTGTAGTTCATTTTACTACATTATCGGTACTTTTTTTTGTTACACTATCGACTAGTGATACATCGGTCAATTTGTTTGACATTATCGGTTGGTGATACATTATCGGTTGGTGACACGTTATTCGTTAGTGACTACGTTAACCGTTGATTATTGTATGATAGGTCCCAATCGATCATGTAAAAAAAAAAAAAACAATTGAAAAAAGTTGGCGTGGTTTTTTTCCGTCGAGTATCTTCCATGCTTTATGTACACAATCCACATGATAACAACCTCCTGCTATTTCCAGCGACTCCAGACCTAGGCCAAAACGTAAACACAAAGGTTGAGGATACGTGCCGAGTATAGCTTGTAACTTTAACATTTTTTTTATTATAGGCGATCAACCAGGCACTTGTCCCAGCAACTATGAGAAGTACTTTGAAGACTATGACTGGTACGATATCACCTGCAAAAACCACTGTAATAGCACCGATGACTGCGCAGAGGGTGAACTGTGCTGTGTTGACGAATACAAATGGGAAGACGATGATTATCGCGAACGTCCGCAAGCGGACGGTTACAGGTGCCCCGTCTGCATGAAAGCTAACTTTGGTGAGTTGTATAAATCATTTTTTGTACATGCCTGATGACGGCAAGAATCGTTTAAAGCAACTTTAGAAATAAACTTGAAAGACATTACTTCCATTACAACTAAAATATGCCAGTGTGACCATTGGTTGAGCTATTTTATTGCACTACCTAGGTAAAACCGAAACAATCAGGTGAACACAAGTGCTGAACTTTCCTGGAGTATATTCTCTTTTTGCAACAATCTGAAGATGATCCGATGAGAACAATGTTCCTTCGAGCTAGGGGGATAACAATCCACTAAATGCTGCTTATTGATGCTTGTTACAGATTGTGACGATGGAGATGGGATACACAAACATGGCCAGATATACACCGCATATTATGATTACTGTAATCTCTGGTGAGTGTTGTAGTATTGATTGCGTATAAAACTATTCAATAATAAGACATGAAACAATATCATTGAGATTGTCGAAGAATTTCGAGAAGTGTTTCTCCTTTCTGTATGTATTCAAGACGTTGTGTTTGATAAACTAACCTAAAGGGATTCAGGCACGGTTCTAGAGCCTATATTTGAAGCGGGGGGGGGGGGGCTACAAGGGGTGGATCGAGAAATGTTTGCATGCAGGGGCGTGCTGAAATGTAGATTTTTTTCTCAGGACACTTAGGCCTCTGAAAATCAATGGGGGGGGGGGGTGCTGTACCATATTTTCAATGAAAAGCGCTGATAAAATCCTACAGTCATGCACACTATAATTATCTAATAGTGTACAAATGCCCCCTTATCACGACGGCACCTTCTAACATTTGCTACTGCCATTTTTGTATGGATTTTTTTCTTGGGGGGGGGGGTAAACTTTTTTTGGGGGGGGGGGCCCAGCCCCCTCCGGTGGAACCGCACCTGAACGGATTCATTTTCAATACCCTTTGCACGTGCTCTCATAGCTGTTAGATTTTCTTTCTGAATTAGGAGGGGAAAAGAGAAAAGACGAAAATGATACCTTGTTTTAATGCACGGCGCTCATTCCCAGTTTCGAATATCCCTACTTTTCTTCTAAAACCCTAAATAGACAGCTTTGTGCGATTGGTTTCAATTTACTTTTTGATATTATGATTAATATGCTAAAAAATGTGATATGTTCAACTTTTTTTATTTGTATCACTCCTCCCTAACAGTCAGTGTTACTACGGACAAACCAACTGCTATAACGTCTGTGGTCATGATAATGACGACGACTACTGGTATGGTAAGTAGTAAGGACTTCCAACTCTTTGAAAACAAAAATAGAGATAACTTTCGAACACTTGAGCCTTTTGAAATAAGGCGCATACACATAGGTGGAGCTGTTTGGATATGGTAACTAATGCAAAAGTTTTGACCCAAACCATTATAGCCTTTTATTGTGTCAATACCTTAATATTAAAAGGCTATATTTGGTCTTTTAGCACCACCTAAATGGCTTTAAGATGACGATTCATTGAAGTTATTGTTATTCGCTAAAATCCCTGCTGGTTTCCATTTCAGATGACCTCTACATGACACGAGCCTGGTTTACTGCATGCGTGGCCGCTGGTACTGCTCTGCTAATCAGTGTGATCTTCACTCTATCCGTGGTAAGTTGAGGGCGCTCTTTTCATATTTGAAAGATTTTAAATATTATTACTATTTGCGCTATTTTTAAAATCTTTCAAATATGAAAATAGCGCAAATAGTAATACTATTTGATCGAATCATTCCAGCACATCGCATCGCACCTCTTAAGAAAATGTGCTGGAATGATTCGATCAAATATTATTACTATTTGCGCTCTTTTCATATTTGAAAGATTTTAAAAATAGCGCAAATAGTAATAATTTTTGATCGAATCATTCCAGCACATTTTCTTAAGAGGTGCGATGCGATGTCGAGCCCTGATTCACGTGGACTTGTGAACACCTCCAAAATGTCTTCAAGATGTTCTTTGATTGATGTCTCAAATTATCTCAGTAAACGGAAGATGAAGAACAAACATGCTGACTACCAACATCAAACTTTAAAATCAGTTTTCCTCACTGACAATATATATCAATGATTGAGATGAGGCTATATTTAAGAGGGCAAGTAGCAACCAACCCTGGACAGACAATTCGTGTGGATTTGTACTTCGAATTTGAACTCACAAATTAACAAATGACAAGCCACCTGCTAGGTTTTAAATGGTATCTATGATTCTCCCTTTTAATTCAGTGCTGCTGCCTGAAGTGTTGTTGCAAAGACAAACAGCAGACCATTATGATTCATCAACAACCTCCCATGGTAAGTCTCCATCATCCTTGGTTCACCAAAATAACTGTCATTTGTTATGGTGTCTGATTTGCGTAAACCTGAAAGAAAACTGCTAAGAGAAACAATTATGAAACACCACCGTTGTCGTGAGTAATGTGGACTCCAAGGAATTCAGACTCATTGGATGTATTGCGCATGCCCATCAGTGAAGATAATATTAGGACTTTGATGGTTAGAGTATGACGAGGTGAAAGACGCCAAATTTCATAGGATTCCAAATTTCATATGACACCATGACTTTCACTGCCAAACTATTTGAGCAGAGAAATTTGAGTCAGCGTCGTGATGACGTTTTGGCCAAAAAAAATTTGGAAAGGCTGATGACAAATTCAAATTCGGGCTGGAAAACAACATGTTTGCTTCAAGCTTTCTGTTTTACATAAGTTATTTTTTTCCCCGTTATGGTCGGTTCGTTACTGAACGTCATGATTTCTGGCCTCCATGAAACGGAAGAAAGAACTCATTGGAGAAAGCGATTCACTATATATACTAATACTACTTTTGTTTTATTCTTAAAGGCACAACAACCCGGCAATGCTTACTACATGTCTCCACCGAAAGAAGAGAAACTTTCACTGACTGAAAACGGTTACACCACGGCTTAAAAATTGGGTGATGGCAAAAGCTGATGAAAATAGTTGTAACGCAAATAATAGTTCATGGTCTCGAAACAGCTAGAATGGTTTACTGCACGCTTTACTATACAGATAAATATTTTTTCAATGTTCTCAATGATGATATTTTACGCAACTCCGTTTGGGATATAATTCGTATCGATTTGACAAGTTGAATGAAGGGGAAAATGCAAAAGATATACAAGTGGTAACTCCAGGTTTTACCCTGAGGTAACACATAACCTTAACCTCATAACCTTGTGGTGAACCTCAAGTTACCGCCTGTTTAATTTTGCATTCTCCCCTGAGTTATTTTGTACAGAGTTTTGCTCTTGCGTGGTACACAGTAAACTTGTTTGGTCCTTTGGTACACTTAATACTCGAGTAGTGTTAAGTATGTTGGTGGTGCTTATGGAATTTTCTATTTTGAATGAATGAGGTTATTATTTTGTACATCAGCTACCTAGTCCTATATAATTGTAAATATCACTTTCAGTTAGCTTTCAGGACAAAAGATGTGTACTATATTTGATATCCCAATATTTAAGAATTGACAAAATTCGTAAAAGATTCTCGAGAAACAGTTGTTTGTATCTCAAAGAAACAAAACTTTGTGTCAATATGTCAGTAAGTATGTTGGAGGAACATTCCAAAATATTGTCAATATTTATTACAAGTCTAATGTCGTCTGTATTTGCAACGACTGGATTTTCTAACTTATTAAATTTGCCGAGTTACATTGTACGAATAACATTCAGAACGAGAAGAACAAAGATTCTGGCTGCATCACTGGTGGCTACTATTTTGTTGTTACTTGTATTCAAATTTTTATGGGGGTAGTGGATTGGGGAGGGGGGGTGGATGGGGGGTACTTCAGCCTTAATCGGGGGCATCAAAAATACTAATACATTCTTCTCTGCCTGAAGTCTCTCATCACATTTAACGAGGTTTCGTCTCACCCGCTACGCGGTGGTGGGGGGGGGGGGGGATGGGAATTCGCCGCATGCCGCCCGCTTCGCAACCATTTATGGCCCATTATAAACATCTGTTAACTTTACCTTATGACATCTGAATGTGCGGTTACACCAAGGGGGTGGGATGGGGGCAAAAGGCAGCCATGGCCCTCCCAAACGAACCCAATTTTTATTATTTTTTTGAAATGACGTCGCAGTAAATGCAGGCACAGCGTACAGTTTGTGGGGCCCTTCAGCGGGTCCCCAATCCCACGCCGTAATTTTCTAAACCCACTTTTCTGGGGACCAAAGTCCCCAACCCCCCCCCCCCCAAAAAAATTAATAAATAAATAACTAGAGCTAATGTGCTTCCCGAAGCACGGATATCAGCCTAAATTGCCGTTTTATCGGTTTGTTTGAATCCTGACTCGCACTGACCACAAGCTGCGCTAGATGTGGCTGAGATCGGCAAAAGAATGTAAGAGAAAAAACTTTGAATATTTGACAATAAGACCGCCGATATATTACAAAAAATAGCCGTAAAGACAACACATGAAACAGTAGTTAATGCCCGTAGATTAATCCATAAAAACACTCAAAAATTCACCACAGCAATAGTGTTATTTATTGGCCTCCGTACTCTTTAATCCACGGTGGAGTATCTGGCTGAACACATTACACAGGTGGCACTGCTGCCATAACAGACCAAAAGTATGCAGTGTCAAGGCTACATAGCGGTTGTGTGCAAGGTCTGTGGAGAGTGTGGCACTGTATGTCACACAACATCCACAGTATCGTGGTGGTTTGAAACCTTCCCAGAATGTCTATGTGTTTATATTGTTTTTTACATGCGTTTGAAAAATGAAAAACTTGAAGTAACTCAACAACCAAATAAGTCAGGAATATGAAATTTAGGAATTAGAGATAAAAAAATACACTGAACAGGGCTGCAAAGATTTAAAATGTAAAACAGTTTCTGAATTGCATTCTTACAATCCGCCTGTGGGTTACACTATAAAGAATATAGCTGACCGGAAAACAAAACAACTCGAAAAATAAGCAAATGTATACGGAAGCCTAGTAGGGCCACGAACAATTGCGAGTTCCTATGTCGCCGCGGGGACATTAACTTTTTCAACGTATTCTTAATTTATCATTTTCCGCGCGTTGGTAGAGGGAACATTTGCCCTCCCCCATCAAATTAACAGCAATACGCCAGGAGGGCGGAGGAAAGCGCCCCGGCCTTGACCCCCTCACGACCCCCATGCTCCCTCACGTGTACGGACCTGCTATATAAACTTTTCAAAATGATACTTGTACTATTGTGATATTACATTATAACCTATTTTTACCTAGATTTCGTTAAAAAATAAAACGACACAGCTGCGGCTAAATGAGTGATTGTTGTGGCCTGTGGTACATCGGTTATCTGACACGCTTTCTTCCTGACGGTTTCAAACGGAGGTTCACAGGTTTATTATTAATATTAAATTGAACATTTAATACGCAATAATACGCAAATTCCATCTGATGAATATTTTTTTATTTACATTCTCCAGTTTTTCTTCTTCCCCCTTCCCCTCCTTCTTCATTTTCTTTTTTGCCGTTTAAAAAAGCTACAGCTAGTAAACATTACATTAAAGATTGTAAAGTGTTACACGTTTGCATTGTGCCGAACCTTTTAAGAGTTATGTACAACTTTATACACAACAGGTGACGGGTAAAGTTTTTGACAAATATTTGGAAACATTTTACTTGGAAAATTGTAAATAAATTTACTATCTTTTGTAAAAACAGTTAGGTAAAATTGTTCTAAATATTTTGTAAAAATTATACTTTGTTTTTATGACGAGCGATTAAAATGTATATTTCAATTATGTAAATGTGTTGTTTCGTTAATTAAATGATGATGTCTGTTTCAAAGATCTCCTTTCGGTTTAAAAAAAAACGGCTGTCATCAAGACTCCCTGTTGAGTAAGTGCTGGTCCCATCCTACTTTCTCCTGAGAAAACAAAAAGAGAAATATTCCACTTGATACTGAGAGTCTAATACAGTGTCATGTTACAACAAACAAAATGCAGGACTCTCGGATGCTTGGAATACTAGGCCATAATATGTTTGTATTTATAGCAACACGCGTATTCGTAATGATTTTGCTTTTGTCCACGATTAATGTTTAACTAAAAGTCCCAAGTTGATGTCATTGCCAGCCAATGAATAGACGACAATGATACCCGGCACTGCCTGTCACCACGTCAATAAAGGACAGAGGTTAAGTTCATTGTAATAATTGTAATGACGTAAGCGTTCCCCAATGGGAGAGCTCGGTCTTGTCAGTAAAGCGGTGACCGTGCACTAGCCAGGTGTTTGTATAAATTAAACACGCGTAACCACGTTCAAAGGTTGAAATAGTGCTCATTTGTCTTTTGTGGCGTATGTCGTCCTTAAGTATACGTATTCACCTTTTCTGGGGCCGGTATAAAAGGGAAAAATACAGCGCGGTCAGGTATATATTGTAGTCGCAACCATTCTGGGAAATATCACCGTCAGAATCACCATTAACGCAACAAAACCTTAAAATGGCGAAAATTGAGCTGATGCTTGTTGTGGTAGTTGTTGCTGTGTGTGCTGTACATGCGCAAGATGATTGTAAGTATACATTTTGTTTCAGTACTGATTGTAATATTAATTTTGTCATGATTGTTTAACAATAACCGAGATTCAAGCACTGTTCTTTTTTACATTAAATAATAAGTTTTGCTGCTATTTTCACGTCTCTGTTGATCCTAAACAAGATGAAGTAGGCTATGTTGATTATATCCGCGGTCATCACCAGGAATACCACAAGACTTCATTTCCTTTCTCTTATTATTTCCAAATGAGTGGAAAAAACCCTGAAGGGCTAATGTTAGATTGAAAGAGTTATTAGAAACAGATTTGAGCAGAAACTCAATCTATTCGACTAAATGGAATTCACTTTCATGATCTGATACATAATAATTGTCGGATTAAGTGAATTTTCTCAATTTGGAAATCGAAATAGCAGTTTAAACAAAAACTTTCTAAAAAGCTGGTCAGGTTCAGTAATTAGTGAGTGTCCAATCTATCCCAATTCCCAATATTATAAGAGAGCGGTTGATTGCGAGCAAGGAACTATAATAATGATGTATGGGTGTATACATTGCTTGGTTGGTTTGTCATGCAATCCGGCATGCAGTGAGAACCTTTTGTAAGTTGTCCCGCCTTGATGTAAAGACTCGAACCGATAGTTCATGTCATGTAGGCCTACTTTCGCCATTAAGTGTAACAATCTTAACCACGCTTTATTGTATTTTTCAGCACAAGATAGAACACCTGAATATCTTTTTAACCATAAAGTTGTAAAATTTGAAGAAAAAAGAAGGTCTTTTTTTTTCATCTGAACCACAGTTCGTAAAGAGGGGCTATGCCCTGAAGTTGTACTGAATAGTACCCACAGTTTCAACGTGAGTTTCGACTGTCTGTCCGACTCGGAGTGCAGCTACGATCATAAATGCTGTCAGCGTCCCGACGGGGCGTACAGGTGTACAGAACCCCTGCCAAACGTGACTAGCACCATGCGGACAACCACGGCAAATAGTAAGCCACTGATCACAACTCAAGGAAGTTGAAAGCAGGCTCCCAATTTATAGAGCAGACTATAAATGCAGTAAAAACATCGCGTTGAGAGAAAACTCAGTTGCGAACCAGCCACTATAGAAAGGTATTATACATTTCGGGACATTTTGACCGGCGGCTATATAATGGTTTGCTTAACCGATAGTTTATGCGATTTAAAATGGTTGTGTTTAATAATAAAAACAGCCCCGGGTGTGTTCACAGTGGTTGAAAGCGAGGAAAAGTGCCTTTTCGCCAGCAAATGTGTACGTTTGTAATTTTTTCCCTCGAAATTGATATTTTTCTTACCTCCAGAAGTCGTTAAGCCCGGCCACTGTCCCGGACCTAGGTTCACTTTTGAAAGTCGCTGCCCTAGAGGACAAACCTGTTCCCATGACGGCGATTGTTACGGAGACATGAAGTGCTGCAGTAGGTCCAGCTACGACCAATGCCCTTCGGTCTGCAGATACCCGGACTCCAACAGTACTTCCACCAAGACCACCATGCGACCGGTGTCTCCGTCATTCAAGCCGTCAAGCAAACCTCACTGTGAGTCTATACATGTACCACTCTTGGATGTTACTGCAATTACGACTGGAAAGAGTCAACCCAAAGTTTGATTGAAGTATTGTTGATGTACCCTAACGTGGCGCGCCCCCAACGTGGCGCACGTTTATTTACCTGTAACAAAGTTAGAAGAAAAAATTATTTTGGCGTTATTTTCCGATTTTATTTTCAAGTGCAAAGTGAACCCTTTGAAAATACCCCGAAAAATAAGAAAATAATTTTCTGACAAACATCTGGCTGGGTATGTAAGTAGAGATAATAATTATTTATCAGAATTTATCAAGTTCACAGAAATTCTTAAATGTTAATTTGGAATTTTCCAAGATTTATTCAAGTGCTCCACGTTAGGGAACACTCCGCCAATTTGTGCCCAATTTCCGGACGCCACCGTTTTGAGTTTCGGATTAAATTTTATGAAACCGAAATTGTTCACAGAGTTAAATAGCAAGCATTAATAAGGTAAAAGTACTAGTATTTTACTGCATGAATTTGAGGTTTGTCAACAAAGAGGTTTGGCAACGCTACACGAGGAAAGTCGGGTAAGCTTCGAAGTGCGCCACGTTAGGGAACACGACTATATAGTCAGAAACAATCAAAGGATTATTTTAATAATCCAAATGTGGAAGTAATTGAAAGAATGCATGTTATTAAAATGAAATCTTCGTCACACACATCGGCGCACACCTTAATTAAGACGCGCCATAAACTGGATTTGCTCACACACAAAAAATACTACAAGAAAAATTAATGTACAAAGTTTGCTTGTTTTGGGGTCAACTATCTTCCATGCTTTACATGTACACAAGCAACACGATTAACAATCTCCTGCTATTTCCATCGACTCCGGACCTATGCCAAAACGTAAACACAATGTTGATGTTAAGCCGAGCTTAAAAGGGAATAAACAACATTTGATTTTTCTGCAATTTTCAGAAATAAAAAAAGATTTTGAGGATTAGTATGTTATAGCAAATATTGTTAAACTGACTTGTTTCACTTTTTGGGCTTGTAGATGCTAGAAAAACCAAGAAAACCAATCATGTTCTTGTAGTCTGGTTCCCTGACCCCACTTAAGATGAAACGGAGCAATTTATAGACTTTGGGAAATTGTAAGGTATAGAGAATCAGTCTAGCAGGCTTGTACCCCTTCACAGGTGTGTAATCAATTGCAAGAACATGCGGAATAACTAAATATAAAAAAACTAGGAACAGTTTTTGAAAAAGGCCAGTATCCAGGGTTGAAAAATACATTTTTTTTGGAAATGTCAGCCCACCAGGAGCTACGAATTTACAAGATGCTTAAGACTGTCATACCCTAACAACCCAGTAAGGTATTTTGTGATAATTTGATCATTTCGTTGTTTGATGTTTGCAAATGTTGTATCTTCCCTTTAATTTGTAAACTTTGACAATACTTCTTTTTTTTTTTTATTATAGATCGTCCAGGCACCTGTCCCAGCGACTATGAGAAGTACCCTGGATCCTTTGAATGGTGGGACACCTTCCCCGGCAATTACCGCTGTGATAGCGATGATGACTGCGCGGAGGGTGAACTGTGCTGCATGAATGAGAAGTACATCATGGAAGGCAATGATTATCGCAAACGTCGGCAAGCAGATGACGACAGGTACCCCGGGCCCGTTTGCATGAAAGCCAATTTCGGTGAGTTGTATAAATCATTTTTTGTACATGCCTGATTGAAGTGGATGACGTCAAGAATCGTTAAAAGCAACTTAAGAAACAAACTTGAAAGACCATTTGTTGTGCTATTATATACTACACGCGTGAAACCAAAAGAAATCAAAGTTTAAATCACGTGAACACAAGTGCTGACCTTTCCTGGAGTATATTCTCTCTTGCAACAATCTGAAGATGATCCGATGAGAACTAATGTTCCTTGCTGCTTATTGATGCTTGTTCCAGATTGTGACGACGGATATGGGATACACAGACATGGCCAGATATACACCGCATATTATGATGACTGTAATCTCTGGTGAGTGTTGTAGTATTGATTGCGTACAAAATTATTATGTATTCAAGACGTTGTGTTTGAGCTAAAGGAATTCAGGCGCGGTTCTAGAGCCTATATTTTAGGGGGGCTGGGGATGGGGGCTAGCAGGGGTGGATCTAGAAATGTTTGCAGGGGGCGTGCTGAAATGTACACCGGGTTTTATTTCTCAGGACACTTAGGCCTCCGAAAATCAATTGGTGTGGTGGTGGGGGGGGGGGGGCTCTTACCATTTGGGGAGCGCTGATAAAATCCTACAATCCTGCACACTAAACCTAATAGTGTACAATATGCCCCCTTATATCATGACGGCACCTTCTAACATTTGCTGCTGCCATTTCTTGTATGCACTTTTTTTGGGGGGTGGGGTGGGGGTGGGGGGGGGGGGTGGGGTGGTGACTAAACAAATATGAAGGGATTCCTTCCAATACTCTTTGCAGGGGTCTTAGCTTTTCTTTCTGAATTAGGAGGGGGGGGGAGAGAATAGACGAAGATGATACCTTGTTTTAATGCACGGCGCTCATTCCAAGTTTCGAATATCCCACTTTTCTTTCTAAAACCCTGCTAAATAGACTGCCACTGCACTTGATTTGAATTTACTCTTTGATAAATATGATCAATATGCTAAAAACATATAATATGTTCAACTTTTTTATTTGTGTCACTCCTCTCCAACAGTCAGTGTTACTACAGACAAACCAGCTGCTATAATGTCTGTGGTCATAATGACGACGACTACTGGTATGGTAAGTAGTAAGGACTTCCAAACACTTCATATAAAACATATATCTTTATCGATAACTTTTTTTTTTCAGTCATCACTAATAAAAATACAAATCTCTAGCCATTTCACAATTTTAATTGGCGACGTGGGAGCTTCGTGGTCGTTATTAATATATAAACAAGCACGAGCCTTTTTAAATAAGGTGCGGACATATTAATTGACCTTTATAATGCTGCCAACATTTCAGTCATGTTCCCTGTATCCATAACAGTACCGGATGATAATGTTCTTGGGCATGTAAAAAGGAACCAGGCTATTTTTCCTTCCAGCGTTGATTTGAATGGGAAAAAATCAAGATGGCTGCAACATGATAATGATCTATAGGAGGCACTGTTTAGATATGGTTTGGTAAATACAAAAGATTTGACCCAATGCATTATAGCCTTTTATTGTTCAATATCTTAATATTAAAAGGCTATATAGTTGGTCTTTTAGCGCCACCTAAATGGCTTTAAGACGACGATTCATTGAAGTTATTGTTGTTCGCTAAAATCCCTGCTGGTTTCCATTTCAGATGGCCTCTACATGACACGAGCCTGGGTTGCTGCAGGCGTGGCTGCTGGTACTGCTCTGCTAATCAGTGTGATCTTCACTCTATCCGTGGTAAGTTGATGACTGTAGGGTTCAAATTCTACTTCCCCACATTTTGCCACAGGCCGCCGATTTCCAATAACGCGATCTCAATCGGACCTATAGTTTCTAGAATTATCGATGCTAGAAACCTGTCTATATGAGTAACAGTTGGTTTATTGTTCATACTGCAGGTGTCATTACATACCTCAGAACAGGCATCACAGATGTACATGTAGATTCAACTTAGAAAATGAACAACTCAATGAAAATGAGAGAGAACAATAGAGAACGGGCTAAGAAAATTGTTGTCTAGCTGGCCGTGGCGAACGAACTGAAAAACAAGTAGTTGCCACGCGTAACATTTAAAACTGATTAAGAACGCGTAAGTGCGCGCAGTACGCAAACCAGAAGCGCGCAGAAGACTGGCCTCAACATTGACGCTCTTTTCATATTTGAATGCATTTAAAATTTGCGCAAATAGTAATAATATTTGATCGAATCATTCCAGCACATTTTCTTAAGAGGTGCGATGCGATCTCGAGCCCTCATTCACGTGGACTTGTGAACACCTCCAAAATGTCTTTAAGATGTTCTTTGATTAATGTCTAAAATTATCTCAGTAAACGGTGGATGAAGAACAAACATGCTGACTACCAACATCAAACTTTAAAATCAGTTTTCCTCACTGACAATATATATATCAATGATTGAGATGAGGCTATTTAAGAAGACAAGTAGCAACCAAGACGGGACAGACGTGTGGATTTGTACTTCGAATTTGAACTCAAAAATTAGCAAATGACAAGCCACCTGCTAGGTTTTAAATGGTATCTATGATTCTCCCTTTTAATTCAGTGCTGCTGCCTGAAGTGTTGTTGCAAAGACAAACAGCAGACCATTATGATTCATCAACAACCTCCCATGGTAAGTCTCCATCATCCTTGGTTCACCAAAATAACTGTCATTTATTATGGTGTCTGATCTGCATAAACCTGAAAGAAAACTGCAAAGAGAAACAATTATGAAACACCACCGTTGTTGTGAGTAATGTGGACTCCAAGGAATTCTGACTCATTGGATGTATTGCGCATGCCCATCAGTGAAGATAATATTAGGACTTTGATGGTTAGAGTATGACGAGGCGAAAGACACCAAATTTCATAGGATTCCAAATTTCATATGACACCATGACTTTCACTGCCAAACTATTTGAGCAGAGAAATTTGAGTCAGCGTCGTGATGACGTTTGGGCTAAAAAAATTGAAAGGCTGATGACAAATTCAAATTCGGGCTGGAAAATAATATTTTTGCTTTAAGCCTTCTGTTTTACATAAGTTATGTTTATTTTCCCGTTATGGTCGGTTCGTAATTGAACGTCATGATTTCTGGCCTCCATGTAACGGAAGAAAGAACTCATTGGAGAAAGCGATTGACTATATATACTAATACTATTTTTGTTTTATTCTTAAAGGCACGACAACCCGGCAATGCTTACTACATGTCTCCTCCGAAAGAAGAGAAACTGTCACTGACTGAAAACGGGTACACCACGGCTTAAAAATGGGTGATGGTAAAGCTGACGAAAATAGTTGTAACGCAAATAATAGTTCATGGTCTCGAAAAAGCTAGAATGTTTTAATGCACGCGTACTTTACAGACAAATATTTTTAATGTTCTCAATGATGGAATTCTACGCAGCTATACGCTTGGGATATAATTCGATATCGATTTGACAAGTTGAATAAAGGGAAAAGTGCAAAGTTAAAGTGGTAATTCCAGGTTTGTACCATGAGGTAACCCACAAAATCCTGTTAACCTCATATAACCTTGCGGTAAACCTCAAGTTACCGCCTGTGTAATTTTGCATTCTCCCCAGAGTTATTTTGTATAGGTTTTGCTATTGCGTGGTATACTGAACTTGTTCGGTCCTTTGATACACTTAGTACTCAAGTAGTGTTAAGTATGTTGGTGGTGCTTATAGAATTTTCTTTTTTAATGAATGAGGTTATTGTTTTGAACATTAGCTACCTAGTCCTATATAATTGTAAATATCGCTTTAGCTTTCAGAACAAAAGATGTACTATATTTGATATCTCAATATATAAGAATTGATAAAATTCGTAAAAGATTCGCGAGAAACAGTTGTTTGTATCTAAAAGAAACAAAACTTTATGTCAATATGTCAGTAATTATGTTAGAGGAACATTCCAAAATATTGTAAATATTTATTACAAGTTTTATGTCGTCTGTATTTGCAACGACTGGATTTCTCTAACTTATTAAATTTGCCGAGTTACATTGTATGAATAACATTCAGTACGAGAAGAACAAAGATTCTGGCTGCATCACTGGTGGTTACTATTTTTGTTGTTAAACTTGTATTCAAATATTTTTGGGGGGTGTAGTGGATGGGGGGGGGGTGGATGAGGGGGGGGGTACTTCAGCCTCAATCGGGGGCATCAACAATACTAATACATTCTCTGCTTGAAGTCTCTCTCAGTCTCTCATCACATTTTCGTCTCACCCGCGGTGGTGGGGGGGGGGGGGAATTCGCCACATGTCGCCCGCTTCGCAACCATTTCTTGCCCATTATAAGCATCTGTTTACTTTACCTTATGACATCTGAATGTGCGGTTACACCAAGGGGGTGGGATGGGGGGCCAAAGGAACGAGCCCAATTTTTATTATTTTTTAAGTGACGTCAAGGTAAAGGCAGGCACTGCGTACACCACCATCTTTTCCTCAAAATTTTTAAAGTTGTCAGAAATTGCCCTAGGTCGCACCATAGAGCGTCTAGAATCCAAACAGTTTGTGGGGCCCTTCAGCGGGTCCCCAATCCCACGACGTAATTTTCTGGACCCACTTTTCTGGGGACCAAATCCCCCCCCCCCCCCAAAAAAAAAAAAAAAAAAATAAAAAATAAAATAAAAGAATTGCATTGTTATGATCCGCCCTTGGGTTACACTATAAAGAAGCTGACCGGAAAACAAAACAACTCGAAAAATAAGCAAATGTATACGGAAGCCTAGTAGGGCCACGTACAATTGCGAGTTCCTATGTCGCCGCGGGGACATTAACTTTTTCAACATATTCTCAATTTATCATTTTCCGCGCGTTGGCAGAGGGATCATTTGCCCTCCCCTATCAAATTAACAGCAATACGCCAGGAGGGCGGAGGAAAGCGCCCCGGCTTTGACCCCCTCGCGACCCCCATGCCCCCTCACGTGTACGGACCTGCTATATAAACTTTTCAAAATGATACTTGTACTATTGTGATATTACATTGTAATCTATGCATACCTAGATTTCGTTCAGAAATAAAACGACACAGCTGCGGCTAAATGAGTGATTGATGTGGCCTGTGGTACATCGGTTATCTGACACGCTTTCTTCCTGACGGCTTCAAACGGAGGTTCAAAGGTATATTATTAATATTAAATTGAACATTTAATACGCAATAATACGCAAATTCCATCTGATGAATATTTTTTTATTTACATTCTCCAGTTTTTCTTCTTCCCCCTTCCCCTTCCTTCTTCATTATCTATTTTGCCGTTTAAAAAAGCTACAGCTAGTACACATTACATTAAAGATTGTAAAATGTTACATGTTTGCAATGTGCCGAACCTTTTAAGAGTTAGGTACAACTTTATACACAACAGGTGACGGGTAAAGTTTTTGACAAATATTTGGAAACATTTTACTTTGAAAATGGTAAATAATTTTACTATCTTTTGTAAAAACAGTTAGGTAAAATTGTTCTAAATATTTTGTAAAAATTATACTTTGTTATTATGAAGATCGATTAAAATGTATGTTTCAATTATGTAAATGTGTTGTTTCGTTAATTAAATGATGATGTCTGTTTCAAAGATCTCCTCTCGGTTAAAAAAACCCGGCTGTCATCAAGACTCCCTGTTGAGTTAGTGCTGGTCCAATCCTACTTTCTCCTGAGAACACAAAAAGAGAAATATTCCACTTTATACTGAGAGTCGAATACAGTGTTATGTTACAACAAACAAAATGCAGGACTCTCCGGATTCTTGGAATACTAGGCCATAATATGTTTGTATTTATAGCAACACGCGTATTCGTAATGATTTTGCTTTTGTCCACGATTGATGTTTAACCAAAAGTCCCAAGTTGATGTCATTGCCAGCCAATGAATAGACGACAATGATACCTGGCACTGCCTGTCACCACGTCAATAAAGGACAGAGGTTAAGTTCATTGTAATAATTGTAATGACGTAAGCGTTCCCCAATGGGAGAGCTTGGTCTTGTCAGTAAAGCGGTGACCGTGCACTAGCCAGGTGTTTGTATAACTTAAACACGCGTATCCACGTTCAAAGGTTGAAATAGTGCTCTTTGTTGATTTGTCTTTTGTGGCGTATGTCGTCCTTAAGTATACGTATTCACCTTTTCTGGGGCCAGTATAAAAGGGAAAAATACAGCGCGGTCAGGTATATATATTGTAGTCGCAACCGCTCTGGGAAATATCACCGTCAGAATCACCATTAACGCAACAAAACCTTAAAATGGCGAAAATTGAGCTGATGCTTGTTGTGGTAGTTGTTGCTGTGTGTGCTGTACATGCGCAAGATGATTGTAAGTATACATTTTGTTTCAGTACTGATTGTAATATTATTTTTGTCATGATTGTTTAACAATAACCGAGATTCAAGCACTGTTCTTTTTTACATTAAATAATCATAAGTGTTGCTGCTATTTGCACGTCTCTGTTGATCCTAAACAAGATGAAGTAGGCTATGTTGATTATATCCGCGGTCATCACCAGGGGTACCACATGACTTCATTTCCTTTCTCTTATTATTTCCAAATGAGTGGGAAAATCCCTGAAGGGCTAATGTTAGATTGAAAGAGTTATTAGAAACAGATTTGAGCGGAAACTCAATCTATTCGATTAAATGGAATTCACTTTCATGATCTGATACATGATAATTGTCGGATTAAGTGAATTTTCACAATTTGGAAATCGAGATAGCAGTTTAAACAAAAACTTTCTAAAAAGCTGGTCAGGTTCAGTAATTAGTGAGTGTCCAATCTATCCCAATTCCCAATATTATAAGAGAGCGGTTGATTGCGAGCAAGGAACTATAATAATGATGTATGGGTGTATACATTGCTTGGTTGGTTTGTCATGCAATCCGGCATGCAGTGAGAACCTTTTGTAAGTTGTCCCGCCTTGATGTAAAGACTCGAACCGATAGTTCATGTCATGTAGGCCTACTTTCGCCATTAAGTGTGTAACAATCTTAACCACGCTTTATTGTATTTTCAGCACAAGATAGAAAACCTGAATATCTTTTTTAACCATAAAGTTGTAAAATTTGAAGAAAAAAGAAGGTCTTGTCTTTTTTTTCATCCGAACCACAGTTCGTAAAGAGGGGTTATGCCCTGAAGTTGTACTGAATACTACCCACAATTTCAACGTGAGTTTCGACTGTCTGTCCGACTCGGAGTGCAGCTACGATCATAAATGCTGTCAGCGTCCCGACGGGGCTTACAGGTGTACAGAACCCCTTCCAAACGTGACTAGCACCATGCGGACAACCACGGCAAATAGTAAGTCATTGATCATAACTCTATGGGAAGTTGAAAGCAGGCGCCCAATTTATGGAACAGAATGTAAATGCAGAAATATTCCGCAGCAGAAACATTCCGTGGTATTGTGCTGTCGAGAAAAACTCATTTGAGAACCAGCCAGAAAGGAAATATGTACATTTCGTGACATTTTGGCCGGCGGCTGTTTTATGGTTTGCTCAACCGATATTTTCTGCGCTTAGCAAATCAATGTGTTCAATAATGAAAACAGCCCCGGATAGTGTGTTCACGATGGTGAAAAGCGAGGGACAGTGCCCCTCAACCTCGTCCCCAGGGTGTCGAGCAGTACGCCCACCACTACCTGCTCTCTCACCCTGGTATTGGATCATTTGCATGTGCAAGATTTTTGCACACGTATGCAAATGAGAACAGTCTGGTGCCTGGATATGCGTTAAACATTAGCGGTTGTTTTTGTATGCGGTGTCTGGGGTAAAAACAGAGTCAATTCGTAGCAGCGCGAGCACGGCGTGAGTTACGAAAACACGATTTTTGAAATCAAACTGTTACGATCTTATCGAGACAACATGCAGTATCATATTTCAGGCATATTTCATATTAATATGAGCAAATTGGAAAGGAAATTAGTATTTTCGAGAAGGCGTGGACGAATGATCGCGAAAACACGTACTGCACGTTGTGAATATATAGCACCAAGTACACGATAAAAATCCATTACTAGCCAATTGCGGTATCCAATCAGGATACAGGAAGAATGTTTCCTATCCAGGGTTTACTATTGGAAACACAGTTGGAAATAAAGTAAGCACTGGGGACGAGGTTGAGTGCCCCTTGTTTACCAGAATGGCCTCTTTCCTGCCAGCGAATGTGTATGTTTGTAATTTGTTCCCTCCAAATTGATTTATTTTTAACTCCAGAATTCGTTAAGCCCGGCCACTGTCCCGGTCCCAGGTTCACTTTTGGAAGACGCTGCCCTGGCGGGCAAACCTGTTCCAATGACGGGGATTGTTACGGGAACATGAAGTGCTGCAGTAGGTTCAGCTACGACGAATGCCCTTCGGTCTGCAGATACCCGGACTCCAACACCACCATGAGCAGCATGCGACCGGTGTCTCCGTCATTCAAGCCGTCAAGCAAACCTCACCGTGAGTCTATTCATGTACCACTCTTGGATGTTACTGCAATTACAACTGGAAAGTGTCAAAGCCAAGTTTGATTGAAGTATAGTCAGAAACAATCAAAGTAGTATGTTAATATCCAAATGTTAAGTAATTAAAAGATTGCATGTTATAAAAATGAAATCTCTGTCGCACACGACGGCGCACACCTTTATTGAAACACGTCATACACTAGATTTGCTCCCAAACAAAATATACCACCCCTCCCCCCCAAAAAAATATATATATACACACACTGTTTGCTTGTTTTGGGTCAACTATCTTCCATGCTTTACATGTGCACAAGCAACGTGATTTACATCTCCTGCTATTTCCATCGACTCCAGACCAAGGCTAAAACGTAAACAAAAATGTTGATGATAAGTGTCGAGTAAAGCTTCTAACTTTGACAATACATTTTTTTTAATTATAGGCGATCAACCAGGCTCTTGTCCCAGCGACTATGGGAAATACCATGAATCCTATGAATGGTACGACGACGTCACCTGCAAAAACCACTGTAATAGCACTGATGACTGCGCAGAGGGTGAACTGTGCTGCATTGAGGAATACATCTTGGAAATGGAACACGATGACTATCGCAAACGTCGGCAAGCAGACGGCTCCAGGTGCCCCGTTTGCATGAAAGCTAAACTCGGTGAGTTGGAATAGTGTACTTTTGAGATTGTGTTGTACATGTGCATGCATGCTTAAAATGAACGACGTCAAGAATCGTTTAATAGCAAGTGTAGATACAAAATTGGAAGAATTTTTCTTCCAATGATACCGTAACATTGGTAGAAGCCTTACCCGTACTGGAATATTTTTGCGCAAAGTTATTGATAACTTTATGATAACATTGATTATATAAAAGTCATTTCCTAAAAAGAATAGTTCCGTTCTACAAAGGTAATTATTATAATTGTTGTTATAGTTGTACAAGTTTTGGGAATAATATTCAATTTAATTCATTCCATTCCGATATATCTTGCCAAAATTGCCCCAAAATACGGGCAAACTTATTTGGCAGCACACTAGGAATGTGTAACCCTATTTTAAGAAACCAACCAATATTTTTTATATCAGTAGGTTACAAATTATAGTCCAGCGGATATGTGACAAAATATCGATGAATTGTGCACTTTTGCATAAAAGCGTGAAACTTGGCACAGATGTTTATATTCATGCGAGAAAATGTTTTAGATGTGGAGCCATCGCAAATTTACCCTTTTAGGGGCGTGGCATCCATTTAAAAAAAGGGGGGCGGGACTTGTCGTGCCCGCAGTAAAATAGGTTTTTCCCACTTGTTACAAAAGCAGGAAACTTCACAAAGACATAATTATATAGATTATTAGTGTTTTCCAGATTCGGAGCCACCACAAAAGTACCTTTTTAGGGGCGTGGCAGCCATTAAAAGAAAGGGGGGGTTTAATTATTATGCCAACTTTGGAAAACATTGTGCCCATATTTCATGAACAAATAAAACGTCCCACAGACCTTTATATTCATGAGAAAAAAAATTCCAGATGTGGAGCCATCTCGAACACACCCTTTTAGGGGCGTTGCAACCATATAGGGGGAAAAAAGGGGGGGCGGGGTTTTGATTATGCCCACCCTGGAAATATTGTTCCCACACTCATAGAGAAATGGAACTTTCCACAAACATTGACATTCATGAGAAAACAAATTCCAGATGTGGAGCCATCTCGAACACACCCTTTTAGGGGCGTGGCAACCATATCAGAAAAAGGGGGGCGGGATTTTCATTATGTCCACCCTGGAAATATTGTTCCCACATTCATAGAGAAATGGAACTTTTCACAGACATTGACATTCATGATAAAAACAATTCCAGATGTAGACCCATTGCGAACACACCCTTTTAGGGGCGTGGCAGCCATATTGAAAAAAGGGGGGCGGGGTTCTCATTATGCCCAACATGGGAAAAGTGTGCCCACATCTCATAAACGAATGAAGCTAATTTCCACAGACATTAATACTCACGAGATAAAAATCACACGTGGAGCCATCGTAAACACACCCTTTTAGGGGCGTGGCAGCCATAATAAAATGGGGGGGGGTAGTCATGATGCCCCTATAAAAGAAAGTTGTGCCTACCTTTCATAAATGGATTAAATTCCACTCGGACAATACATTCATAAAAATCTTTTTTTTTAATGTGAGGCCATCACAAACCTACCCTTTTAGAGGTGCGGCATCCATTTTTAAAAGGGGGGGGGTACTCAATATGCACAAAGTGGAAAATTTTGACCGCGTTTCATATAATAAAATCCACCTCAGATAGCTGTTTAATGTGTTGGAGTAGGGCCGCCTTTATAGTTGGAATTTACTGTTGTCAAACCCTTTGTTTTCTTACACTATGCATTCTGGCCTCATCTATATTAACCCAGTTACTGGTTCTTTCGTCTGTAGAATTATTGATAAACTTTCAACTGCATCAATATCTGAATTAGGGGTATAAACTGGGGTACCTCAGTTAGTCCTGGAAAGACTAGTGTTACTTCTTCAAATACATTGTTTCCCCTGCCTTTTTTTCTGACAGACCAAAAGGCATATGCAGTGTCGCACCTGTATAACGTATAAATTTTTTTAATGGATTTGGTCGGGGTAAAAAAAAACACTCATAAGAGCTTGATATACCATTTTTAAGAGAACAGAGGTGTTGTGTGGTGGGGGTACACAGATTCATTGAATGTGAAGTCATAGTGGACGTGTCCACCACTTTGTGAGGCGAGTACATCGTGTTGTTACCCAATCTGCTGTCAATGCAGCGCAACGGGTAAGGGGTAGGGGGATTTTACACTCCCCCCCCCCCCCCCCCCGTAAAAAAAGGATTTCCATGGCCCATTAATGTTAAATGTTAGAGTTTAGGGCTGCCATTGTGTGCTGTGTATTTGTAATTATGAAATCACTCTGGAATTTAGATGTGCATGATAATATAGGTGCAAGTACACACATTGAACAATATAACACGGGTTAGCCTACCGGTACTTACATGTACCCATGCTCTTTGGGGTATTGTATTACCAAATAATATAGGTTATGGGCCAATCAACATTATAAGAAATCAACAACAAAATATAAAAATTGCAATTGTGGGCACAGTGAGTAGGCCCCTCACACCTCTAAAAGGATGAGTTTGCTGTGGCTCTACATAAGAACTTTCTTTTATAGGGGCATCATGACTACCCCCCCCCCCCCATTTTACTATGGCTGCCACGCCCCTAAAAGGGTGTGTTTACGATGGCTTCACGTGTGACTTTTTTTTTCTCTTGAATATTAATATCTGTGGGAATTAGCTTTATTCTTTCATGAGATGTGGGCATTTTTTTCCCATGTTGGGCATAATGAGAACCCCGCCCCCTTTTTTCAATATGGCTGCCACGCCCCTAAAAGGGTGTGTTCGCAATGGCTCTACATCTGGAATTGTTTTTATCATGAATGTCAATGTCTGTGAAAAGTTCCATTTCTCTATGAATGTGGGAACAATATTTCCAGGGTGGACATAATGAAAACCCCGCCCCCCCCCTTTTTCTGATATGGTTGCCACGCCCCTAAAAGGGTGTGTTCGAGATGGCTCCACATCTGGAATTTGTTTTCTCATGAATGTCAATGTTTGTGGAAAGTTCCATTTCTCTATGAGTGTGGGAACAATATTTCCAGGGTGGGCATAATGAAAACCCCGCCCCCCTTTTTTCCCCTATATGGTTGCAACGCCCCTAAAAGGGTGTGTTCGAGATGGCTCCACATCTGGAATTTTTTTTCTCATGAATATTAACGTCTGTGGGACGTTTTATTCGTTCATGAAATATGGGCACAATGTTTTCCAAAGTTGGCATAATAATTAAACCCCCCCTTTTCTTGTAATGGCTGCCACGCCCCTAAAAAGGTACTTTTGTGGTGGCTCCGAATCTGGAAAACACTAATAATCTATATAATTATGTCTTTGTGAAGTTTCCTGCTTTTGTAACAAGTGGGAAAAACCATTTTTACTGCGGGCACGACAAGTCCCGCCCCCTTTTTTTAAATGGATGCCACGCCCCTAAAAGGGTAAATTTGCGATGGCTCCACATCTAAAACATTTTCTCGCATGAATATAAACATCTGTGCCAAGTTTCACGCTTTTATGCAAAAGTGCACAATTTTTTCACATATCCGCTGGACTATTAGGATCCATGAGCAAAAAAACCAGCTTTTTATGTTTTGGATATATGCAATATTAGAACATATGTTTATGCATTTTGCGCAATATAAATGCCATTGTCATTATTATTAGGCTGCAACAATCTGAGGATAAAGGACCTCGGTAAAAAGGAGCGGAATTATTTAATCTCTGAAATGACATGACGCTCATTTGAAACAAAAATGTTGTTTTTGGATCATTTTATAAAAGTTAGGTGAATGTATAGTATTTAGAGCAAATGTTCCTTTGAGTTAGGGGGATAAAAATCCACTTAATGCTGTTTGTTGATACTTATTCCAGATTGTGACAGTGAATATGGGACGACATACAAACATGGCCAGCTATACAAAAGAGCTTATGATGACTGTTATCTCTGGTGAGCGTTATAGTATTGAATGAGTACAAAAATAATTCAATAATAAGAAATGAAACATGCCGTTGAAATTATCGAAGAATTTGAAGAAATGTATTATCCTACCAAGATGTATTCAAGACGTTTGATAACAAAACCTAAAATGATTTCTTTCAATAACCTTTTGCACAGGTTCTCTTAGCTGTTTTTCTTTCGGAATTAGGAGTGGGAAAAGAGGAAAGACGAAAATGATACTTAAAAAAAAAAAAATTGCCCGTCATTCCAAGTTTTGAATACCCCTATTTTCCTTCTAAAACCCCGCTAGACCGCTAGTGCATTTCATATGATTTTACTTTTAAAAGTTTTTGAACAAAAATTGAATATAATAATTATGTTCAAGTTAAACATTATTTTTTTTTCGCTCCGCCCCAACAGTCAGTGCTACTACGGACAAACCAGCTGCTATAATGTATGTGGTTATGATGACGACGACGACATCTGGTATGGTAAGTAGTCAGGATTTCGAAACACTTATAAAAACACCTTATATTTTTTGCGATAACGTTTTTTTTTTCATTCATCACTGGTAAAAATACAAATCTCTAGCCATTTCTCAATTTTGGCGACGTGGGAGCTTTGTGGTCGTGAATAATAATAATTAAAAAAAAAAACAACGAGCCTTTTAAAATGAGGCGGACACAATAGGGGCGCTGTTTGGTTATGGTAATTGGTAAATACATTGGATTTTACCCAAACAAAATAGCCTACATAGCTGGCAAATACAAAAGATTTTACCCAAACAAAATAGCCTATATTGTGTCAAAGGCTAGTACTGTTGGTCTTTTAGCACCACGTATTTGGCTTTATTATGAATCCATTTCAGGTATGATCCATTTAAGGTATTGCAATTCGCTAAAATCCCCGCCTGTTTCCATTTCAGATGGCCTCTACATGCCACAGGCCTGGATTGCTGCAGGCGTGGCCGCTGGTACTGCTCTGCTCATCAGTGTGATCTTCACTCTGTCCGTGGTAAGTTGAGGGCGCTCTTTTCATATTTGAATGCATGTCAAATTAGCGCAAATAATAATAATATTTGATCGAATCATTCCAGCACATTTTCTTAAGAGGTGCGATGCGATCTCGAGCCCTCACTCACGTGGACTTGTGAACACCTCCAAAATGTCTTCAAGATGTTCTTTGATTAATATCTCGATTTATCTGAGTAAACTGTTGATAGAGAACAAACATGATGACTACCAACATCAAACTTTATAATCAGTTTTCCTCACTGACAATCTATGTGAATGATTGATGTGAGACTATTTAATAGAAAAAGCCAAAACTAAGAAGGGAAAGGCAATGCGTGTGGATGTTTACTGTACTCAATAACATTTGAACCGTTGTCAGAAGCAATGGCTTTTGAGTATTAAGGAACAGGAAGGATACAGATAAGTTCAAACTTTGGAATGAACTCACAATGTAGCAAAACTGACAAGCCATCCGCTAGGATTTAATGCGTCTCCAACTGAAATGGTGTGATTTCTTTTATTTCAGTGCTGCTGCCTGAAGTGTTGTTGCAAAGATAAACAGCAGACCATTGTGGTGCAGCAACAACCTCCCATGGTAAGTCTCCATCATGTTGAACTCACCTTAATCGCTATTCTGTCGAAGATATGGTGTCTGACATTTTGAACATTGGGTTTTGCCCTTCACCAACGTAGCCAAAAAAACTAGAAATGTGTTTGTGGACAAACACAAGCTGTTTCGGATATCTGAAATGCTCTGTGCACGTGATGAACAGCGTCACAACAAATGTCAAATGTACAAACAGCCCATTATAAGTACATATAAAAAAGCACTGTGCTCAGTGCCATTATCAAGTTCATTGATACCCGTTGCTCTACGGATTCGAACCGGCCAGACGACCCTGGCAAGCTCGGTGGTCGTCGTCGAGTGGTTGAGACGTCTGGACTAGAAAGCAGGAAGTCGTTGGTTCAAGTCCTACACAAGCAGGCTTGTGATATTTGTTCTCGCAAGCTCTTGGACCCTGCTGAGAATACAGTGTTTATACTATTTGGGTGAAGGACAACACCCAATATTAAACATTGAGAAAAAAGCTTGGACTCTGAAATACCGACTCGTTGGATGTATTGCGCATGCCTATGAGTGAAGATAACAGGGAGAGGGGCAGGTCACGTGAGTGTAAGAGTATAATGAGGTAAAAGAAATGAGATTCATAAATATCCAAATTTCATATACATACCGTGACCTTCACTGCCAAACTGCTTCAATTCAGAAATTGGCGTGATTCAGCATGACGTTTGGGAAACAAAAAACATTTTGAAAGGCTGATGAAAAATTCTAATTAGGGCTGGCAAAAAAATTAATTGGGTTCAAGCTATTTGTTTTACACGGTTTGAGTTCGTTATGTTCTGTTCGAGATTGAACGTCATGATATTTTTTTTGACCGCCGTATAGGAAGAACTAATTGGAGAAACCAATTCAGTGTTCATTAATACTACTTCCATTTTATTCCTAAAGGCACAACAACCCGGCAATGCCTACTACATGTCTCCTCCCAGAGAAGAGAAACTTCTCCTGGCAGACAACGGTTACACCACGGCTTAAATAAGGGGTGATGCATGGCAAAAGCTGGTACAAATAGCTGTAACGCAATTAATAGTTGGTGAGCTCCAAACAGCTGGAATAGATTAATGCACGCTTTATACAGACAAATATTGCTGTTTTCAGTGTTCTCATTGACGATATTGTACGTAGCTTCGTTTGGGATATAATCAATTATTTCAACTTATCGATTTGATAAGTTGAAATAAGGGAAGAATCCAAAAATAAACAAGGGGTAACTCCAGGTTGTACCTCAAGGTAACCAACAAACCCTGCTAAACCTCGGTAAAACCTCGAGGTAAACCTCAAGTTACCGCCTGTTTAATTTTTGCATTCTCCCCTAAGATATTTTGTACAGAATTTTGCTCTTGCGTGGAATACTGAACTTGTTTAAAGTTGGTCAGTTCAGAGACTATAGTCTAAGTAGTGTTGAGTGTGTTGGTGGTTTTTGTGGGATGTCCTTCGTTTCTAATGAATGAGGTTATTGTCTTGTACTATAGCTACCCAGTCCTATAATTGTAAATATCACTTTACTTTTAGAACGAAAGATGAACTATATTTGATAATTCAATATTTAAGAATTCCATCCTTGTTATCAACTTCTAATGTACAAAACATTTTCCATTTGGGAGGTGTACCGAACTGTATGCTAATTAAACACACTCGGGGCAGGAACAACGTAAATTTAATTCTCACTTGCTTTTCAAGTTTCCAATACAAAACAGGTTTAATTAAAATTGCTCATAATTGTCCTGCTTCAAAAAGTAATTCTTCATTTTGTGCAAAGAGGCATCTCGCTGATACAAATTAATAACATCCGTATTGTCAAAAAAGATTCACGAAAAACAGATGTGTGTGTCTTGAAGAAACAAAGCTTTGTGTTAATACATCAGTAAGTAAGTTTGAGGAGCACTCCAAATATTGTAAATATTATGACAAGTCTACTGTCTGCATTTGCAACGACTGGATTTCTCTAACTTACTAAATTTGCAGAGTTACATTGTACGAATAACATTCAGAACGAGAAGAACAAAGATTCTGGCTGTAGCACTTGTGGTTACTATTTTGTTGTTACTCGTATTGATACATTATTTTGGTAGTGGATTGGGGGTACTTCAATCTCAATCTGGAGCTTCAAAATTACTAACACATTTCCCTCTCTTTGATCTGTCTCTCGTCACATAAGAATTTTCTGATAATGTAATGTTAAAAAAAAACATGACTATTGGCTCAGCCCAAAACGACTACATAATTATTATGCCATTGCAGCGTAATACCACATAGCTGGCCCATTATACCCATCTGGCTACTTAAACCTATAAATGAAAGCTGCACGTGCGGATATACTTGTGAATAATGAAGCTGACCAGAAAAAGTGAGCACAGAAAACAATTTGAGAATGAGCAAATATGACACAGTCTGTGTGTCACAAAATGAAACAGGTCCACATTGGCACACAATATTAAACAGGTGATTCATAACTTGACAAATGAGAATAATAATAATATACATAGTTTATCTAAACAGTTAAAGGAAAAGCTGGGCCCGGAGACAAAACGCGGAAGAGCTGGATTTCAAGGGCGTAGCAAGGATTTGTGGGGGGGGGGGGGGGGGCAACGCACTTTCCAGAAGCGAAGGGAGAAATCACCGGCCGTGGAAAATCGACACCCATGTTGTTAAATGTATATGATTCTTTTCTTATTTGTTTCTCCTCTTTGGGGGGGGGGGGCTTTTCCGTTTATTGCCTGATGCATATATTAACCGAATCCTTCAATTTTTTTTACTGGGGTCTTATGCAGTTTGGCAAAGGGGTACTTCAGGGTAGTGAGACGAACTGGCTTGATTTGTGTACGTTATTATAAAGGGAGGGAGAATACACACACATATATATATTTTTAGGTTGAATAAAACATACAAGTTGAACATTTTATTAAAAGAAAAACAAATCAAATTTGTTGAAAAGCAAGCATGCATTTTTTGGTTGAATAAAACATACAAGTTGAACATTTTATTAAAAGAAAAACAAATCAAATTTGTTGAAAAGCATGCATGGGAACGGAAGTATAAATTATCTTTACATTCTCATCACATGCAGAATGCGCCATTTTGAGTATCCAGGGTTCGTGGACGGGGGAAGGGTGTGTGTGTGGGGGGGGGGGGGGGGGGACACGGGCGGGCAAAGTCTGCCGACGGATCACTCGATCCGTGCTCAAAGGTAGCCATCATGGATTTGATTTCTCTTCGATCACCCGGCCGCCGAAAACATAAAAAAGTGGCTTGGTTGGGGGGCATGCTGTAAAGACATATCATTCTAGTAATTGGTATTCAAAACTGACAATTTTCATTTTTTATAGCAGCCGGAGAAGAAACGAACTTTTGGAAAAACCCATGCAAGTGATCCGATCGTCGTCAATTGGTTCACGGGTGAATGATAATGTCAAAGCATCACATCAGCATCCAGTAATCGAGACCGAGCCGTGCTCACATGACGCATAGTATGGCTGTGGAGTTAACAGCCTCTGGGGCAGGGGTTAATGCTATTATTTTACCCGATGACGTCATATTCAGTGCTGTCCAATTGCAATCGGCGAGTGCCAATGATCATAGGCACGTGCCTCGAACGGGCAGGCCGTCGCTAAGTAGCGCCAGTATCACAACTCCAGCAGTACCACTTATGATAACTTCTGCTTACGTCACCACAAGTCAGGTACCTCACGTCACAGGACTTAAAATATGCAGTATCGATGGCGATCAGTGGCGGAGCGCGGGAGAGCGGGAAGTTTCGCATCCATTGATCGGTCAACTTTCGGAATGCAACTTGTGTTTGAGCAGAGCCAGCCCCTTACGAAAAATCTCCGCGGTTTTCAATTACTTCCGTGTTCATCCGTGGACTGCGTAACGCCATAACCACAAAAATCCTTGGAGATGCTAATGATTTATCCTCCTAGTGTATGGGATGGTTGACCTAGCTTGTCTCAATATTTTTCATATATAGAAATGCACTGTGGTGAAAAAATTCTGTTGCAATTTGTTTGAGGTTCACTCAAAAAATGAAGTATTTTGCCTGGACTATAAGGACACATGCACACGACGATCACACGCGGACCGACAATGTACATAATTCATAAGTTTGATGACGCTGTACTGTTCACGGCATAAATTATGATTAGTGGTACTGCTGGAGTTGTGATACTGGCGCTGCCGTACGTATACGTGTACCTTGTAAGGAGAAAGTGAAAACGACTGCAATCGCAGTTGCAATCAAAACACGATCGAAAGGAGTCTGCTGTTTGTCCCATCGGCTCGATTTAGTAAATCTACATCCACAGGGGCTGCACGAGACAACCGTGAACACCGATCGACAACAAAATGGAGATATTTCAGCTGGGATTCTTCCTTCTGCTAGCTACTTTGTGTGTTGGGGTAACGAACACGACAACTCGTAAGTGAAGATCCATGTCTTTCAATTTAAACTTGAAGTTACAATGTTACAATTTTCCGGTTAATTGTTTTTCTTGCACATCAACATGAGAGTGTGTGTGTGTGTGTGGGGGGGGGGGGGGGGGGTACCCGTGCAGCAGCCATTTGTGGCGGGCGTTTTATGTTAATTTATGATGCGTAGGCCTATATAGACTATCCATGTTGACTTCAATTGTCAAAAGCTCAAAGATGTAAAAGATGGCTGCACTGCACATTCGTACGTGTCTATTGACTGTATGCCTTCTGCACACTTTGGCCATACACTCGTGTACGTATACACCGAGGCCATATCTCGCACAGCTAGGACGCCATTTAAAAAAAAAATCCGGTATAATTTTGATTTACCGATAGCTCTCCAAGGTATTCAAGACACATCAAATTACCATATTTCAAATCTTTTTACAGTTTTCAATTGGGCCATAATGATATGGGATGACATTTTATTTGAGTGAGATAACCCCCAAAGATATCTCCGTTATAAAACAGAGATGGCCCACGCTGTTGCAACGTTCTGGCCGAATTTCATCATTTTCTCGGAAACAGGCTCAGAGCTGATACACCGGCAGTCCTTTGCACAAAGTCTTAAATCAAGTAACCTTGATCTTGGGGGCGCAGACAGCCTGAAGTTTATTGTCAGCTGTGAAAACGAAGGGTCAAAGATCAAGTACATAAGATCATCGCTGTATTTTGTACTGGCCGTTGAATTGGGGGCGCCCTGCCCAAAAAACACGTTAATCTTCATCAATGTATTTAAGTGACATATCACCGGATGTGTTTAAAAACAGCCTTGTATTGAACTCACTGTAAAGTCTTTCATCAGTCTTCTTTCCTGTCAATATCATCCAAAATATTCAGAAATAAAAGGTCGAAATTTGAAATTAAGAGCTGTAACCCTTCATTATAAATCCTTCAACTATACAAATTAAAACTGTTACAAATTCACAATCTGGTACTAAAATTAATGGCCCCTTAGCAATCGCTATCTTGCAGCTCCGAGGTGCAACCAAAATAATGTTGAACTTACTATTTCGGCTGAAACATCCTTGGAAATCAAAAGAATGTGATCTTAGGTTATAAGTTAGAAGTACGGGTTAAAAGGTTGGCGTGATGCCACGATCTTCAACTGATTTGAAAATCACAAATTCGATTATTATTATACGTTTAAAATGCAGCGTTAAGGAGATATACTATCGTAATGTCTTCGAACGGTGGGAGACAACGGTTGATCATTAGTGAGACATTTTTATTATTTATTTTTTTTTTGGTGGGGGGGGGTGTTATGATGGCCCGGCTTTCTTTCGATGAGATTATCATACAATTATATTAATACCAAATTATTTTAAGGCTATCAGAGCCGGGGATGTTTTGACAGCGCGGCGTATTTCCGATCAAACTGTCGTACAATTATTAATACAAAATTATTTTAAATTCTATCAGAGCCGTCCGGGAAAGCGGGGGGGGGGGGTGGTGGTGGTGGTGGTTACCGATTTTGTGGAATGCTTCAACCAATCTAATATAATGACTTTTACTCACATTTCTTTCGGAGTCAATCTGATAACAAATCAATTCCGTTGGATTATCATTGTTGCAATCATGAAATCTAATTTTAGCTTCGATACTTATGGAAATATCCATTTACATTGTGTTTGTATTAAGTTTGAGATATTTTCCCCGATTCTATTAGGTATCATCCAACTAAAGAATGATAGTTTTTTTTCAAACCATGCATTCTAGGATTGCAATTTGACCGTAATCAACACGAAAATCAAGGCGGTCATTGCCCTCATGACTTTGAAAGATACAACCCGAACGATGATCCCGGATGTCCGGGCGAGTGTCGGGGGGACCAAGACTGCAGCAATGGGGAGATGTGCTGCGTCGAGAACCGGGACAGAATCCATCACCGCAGCTCCATCGGAAGCAATTGCCCCGTCTGCTCGCCACCTGTATACGGTCAGTATACAATCAGCAAGAGATACTGCAATAAAAAGCTTGCACAGCTCTTTATAATGGGAGACTTTTGAGACGTTGGTGGGAGCAAACACAACGGTCTTTTTCGACTGTTTACGTCACGTATAAGCTAAAGCGCGCACGCTCAATATGACGCAAACAATGGAAAAGAACCATTATCTTTGCTGCCATGCCACCAACGTCTCAAAAGTCTTCCATTACATGATATTCACGAAATTGCTCTTCAAAATGTTGATGGCTCGTTGGCTATTTCGAGATGCGAACAAAGTGAAGCTGTGCACTGGTTTCCGATCTCTCCATTTGAACGCGCGGAGGGAACCAGTCTCACCTACTCTCATTGTTCCAAATAAGTGAAATAGAGTCGCAAAGTATTCAACCCTTTTTTCCTTAGAAGAAATGTTACATGAAATAATTACATTTCGATGCCATTTCAACGTTTATTTGAAAAAAAAAATCAATATTCGTTGAGGAAAAAGAATACAAGTCATTTCAAATTGTTTACAAAATATATTGTTCTTGGAGTTGTAATATGGCGGGCGGTGACTTCACTTCTAACAGCCAATGGGCTATCCAGACTTTTATATGGAGGTACCCAGTGGTTGCTATTGTAGAATCAAGAAGAGCAATTGCAGCTGCATTGTTTGGATATATTTCTTCAGGAGTGGGATGTTACTATGACACGTACTACGGTGAATACGAGTATTACCAAGATGACGCGATTTTCTCGCCTGAATTCGGCGGCTGTGCAATTTGGTAAGTCCTTCATTTTAAATGCCAACTTTTCTGTAATGCTCTAGATGTATTATCGCACAACAAATGAAAATCAGCAACTGGAAATTAACATAAAACAATGGATAACATAGGCACTCAGTTGGTTACTTCAAATGTAATGTTTTAGGAAGGGGGATTGGGGGGGGGGGGTATTTATGCCACCTCCCAATAGTTTGTATAACGAGTGCCCTTTTTTTTCAAGAGTGCTCCGTTCACGAATGCCCCCTTGTTTCACGAGCGGCCTTTTTTCACGATTGCACGCCCCTTTTGTTAAGTTACGCGAACTTCGGCAATTGTCCCGCCACGAATAGTGCGACCTCGTCTGACATAGACTTGGTGCCAAGTCGGTAATTGTTTTGCGTATACGGTACCGGTTACTGCGGGCTACACGCACGCATTATCGCTGCAATGCGTGGAGTCTAGTTCCCAGACCAAATGATGCTGACTATTGATGTTCCATTACCGACTCGGCGAATACGTTTCAATTTTGTGCACAACATATGGGAGTATTTTGAATCGCTAGCGAATTCTATGCGAGCACTCTGATTAGTTCAGATTGTAGAGCGTATTCTAGGCCGCCACGGAAGATCGTGCTCATTACTTCGAGGGTTTGTACTTTGTGTTGTGTGACATTACAGAAATCACTACAGGGTATACACGACTCAAATAAATCAAGTACATGTATAGTACATTAATAAATACCTTGGAGAGTTGATGGTTTCTGATTGGTCGAGACTCGATCACGTGGCCGGTCATTAACGGTGATAATGGACCGGCTTCAAAGATCAAGCGAATAAATGGCCCCTGAACCAGCATTGATCAAGCTCCATTCAGCCCCATGCAAGCCAATAATTGGTCAAAATATAGTAACAGTCCTGCGGTAGCTTTTAACAATTGAGCACTGCACATGCGCTCAACCCCCATCGCGTGAGACTGACGCGCGGCGTACGCAACACAGTTGCTAGGGATGCGTGCGTGCGCGCGCGTACCGTAAGGAAGTTTTGAAACGACATCGTATCGCGTACATCACTGTGCAGTATATACTGAGGATGTTTACGACGAAAGCGTAGATCTACGATTTATTTTCTTTGCAACACTTCACCCACCGACATATTTACCTTTCCTAAACCAAGCATCTTTGTAATTCCGGACACAAGGAATGTGTAAACGAGATTTCAGCTTCCTCCATCAGGTAAAGATATGAAAACATTGTTGTAATTTGTTTCGCTACGGCAGCAGTTTCTGTTGAGTTTACGTCGTTATAGCTGTTAAGCTAAAATATGGCCCATGAACATGAACACAAAAAAGTCTGGAAATATCGCCGGAAAAAAGTCACAAAATTGGAGCATTTTAACTGTTTATTTCGTTATAAAGGTATTTATTAATGGGAATAACAGTGTGAGGAGCCGGTCTTCACTGCGTGATAATGACCGGGTGTGGGGGTGACCGCTGTTAATGGACCTCGACTTCGTCTCGGTCCATTAACAGCGGTCACCCCCACACCCGGTCATTATCACGCAGTGAAGACCGGCTCCTCACACTGTTATTCCCTTAATGATACATTTTGTTTCAATACACAATTGACCTAGCTGAGTGTTTTAGTCGTTAAAACGTCGCCAGATCTGCAAACATGCCCCCGACATTATTGACATGATTGAGAAGATCTCCCCATGTAACGGAATGAAAGAGTTCTCATTTGCATAGCGGTGCCATTGGATCTCACTGCAAACACGCATGCGCTGCATATGTAATGCGCTGCTTGCATATATGAATAACGGTGCGAGAACGTAATCGTCAAGTCGTTAGATATGTTGCAACCATTCCGATTACTACAAATCTTATACCAGCCACGCCAATGGAGTTCGACTGAAGTTCACGGACAAAGTACGACTATCCAACGACTTGTCATCAAGTCTTCGTCTGACAGTGCACATGATCATCGCTTGGAACAGCGCCCCCATTGAAAGATGGTGTCCAGCCCTCCCCGACCTTTATTGTTTTATTTTAACGGAGGCCGGGTGTCCGGTGAAAAAAAAACAGTCTGCCTTTTCAGCACGAATGAGGCGAGTGCCCCTTTTCACGTCTCAAGTATTTTTGTAATACTGGGTGTTGCCATATACAACGTATTGAAGTCAGGGCCGGATCCAGAGGGGGGGGGGGGGGGGGGGGGTTTCGAACCCCCCCCCCCCTGCTCCGACCAAACAAAATTATAACAATTATAGTAATAATGAAAAAGATGACATTCTGCAAACATTCCTGGATCCGCCCCTGTGAAGGTCTACAAAAACAACAACAACCTGTAGGCCTACAATTAAACATCAATCTTTGTTATCTATCCACAGTCAATGCCTCAATGGAAATATCAACTGCTACAATACCTGTGGTAAGTCCTGCTAAGTTTGATATTATTAAGTGCGTGTAAAATACACATGTAGACAAAAATAAGCTTGTCTTGTATTGCGACAACAGCAGCATAGGCCAAAAAAGTATCCGGTTTCTGGTATGGAGCTTGCCCCAAAAGTGGTGCGTAGACGCGGCTTTTTCTTCCCCAACTTTTGTTTTCTTCGAATGTGGCTGATGTTGCACATGACGCTTCGATACCCTTAAAACTCTCAAAAATATCCTTCAGGGTGGAGCTTGAGGTGACCTCGGTAAGGCCATAAGGCTTGAGAATTCTGCACCTACTTACAATATCGACCGACACGAACATTCTTCGGAACATTTGGATGGTCAAGACAAAAATCAGAGAAAAGGGTAACACCGTGTATCAGACCATACAGCGATATCGACATCGTGCATGTGCTGACAGGCTGTTCATTAGTCTGCCCCCTCACATAATGCGCTTATCAAAAAGCGTTTACAGGTTCCAAATACACGACCATCGCTCCCTCAATCTGGCTTCCAGACGCACAATTACAAAATTACAACACCGTCTGCAAATGGTGTCCGACTAAAATTTAGTGCAAAATATATTGGATCCCAGAGAGGCTACATAAAGCTTATACTCGATCGTAACCCCATCTAAAACTCGTTAGAATTGTGCAGCAGCAGCAGGATTCCAGTCAAACCAATAAGTTTGGCGGTTTTGAGACATCATCTTACATTGAAAAAAAAAAACTTTTTAATTTTGCCGACGCGCATGGCTACGGCGATGCGCGCGCATTCCAGAAACCGGAGACTTTGTTTTGGCCTAAGTGTGATAGCTTTTGTTCGCTAATATTGTGAGAGATATTTGAACAGTTCTGAAGAATATAAATAAGCAAGTTCACTGAACACTTACTATTTGTTCCAGCTGAATGTGTTGAACTCATTGGGTAGGGGAGGGTTGGGGTAGCTGTTTGAGCTCTAAATTTAATATTATGTACCACATTTCAATGATTTAGTATTTGTTCTTGTTACAGATAATCCCTTTGCACTTAGGGAATGGATTGTGCCCGGCATCACCATGGGAGTAGCTCTGTTGGTCGTTCTGTTTGCCTCTTTGTCCGTGGTAAGCTATACATATTATTATTATCTCAACGGGGTATATTATGAGGGTTGGGTGTACATAATATTCCATCTTGTTAATGTAGAACAGATTTGGAGTCTGAGTTGCTCGCAGTTCTGGCAGCTAAATCGTCGCGCCTCATGACCGCCTAAAACTCGGTGGATGTTTAGTCCACATGTTTCAATTGACTTCACCTTGATTCTTATCCTCTCTTGTTCAGTGCTGCTGCGTGAAGTGTTGTCGCAAGACCAGGGAAAGAACTGTACACTACGGAGCCGGAATGCAGGTAAGGACTTATTGCTAGGTTCAGCGTCGTGTAGACTTCTGTCAACTATACGCTGTAAAATGAAATGGAACAACAGAATGTTACAACATTGAACTCCATCTAAACATTACAAGAAAATCTTTACAGGGATATGAAACAATATGTAGGTTTGTTAGTTTGTTGACTGACTCATATTTGTGACCCGTTAATTCCCTGATACCAACGAAAAACGTAAGAAATCCGTGTATCAGCAAAATGTATCAATTAAAAAACTTACTAAACTGTGCGATGTTTGGTCTTTCGAAATGTTTTCATTTTTAGCTGTATTATATGTACCAGCGAAGATTGATTTAGGTTATTACATTTGGCATGTGAAGCTGGATGCCTCTATTTCAATGTCGAAACATTTTGCTTTGATTGCCACGTCCAGCGGCGGCGGAACGGTTTTCAAACGGGGGGAGGGCATCACCAAAAAGGGGAACTTGCATGGAAAAAGGGAAAAAAAAGGAAGAAAAAAAAAGAAAAAAAAGAAAAGAAAAAGAGGCGCGAAGACAAAGTGGTGTAAATTTAATGAGTGGGGGGGGGGGGCAAAATGTCCCTGCCCCCCTCTAAAACTGAAAAATCGAGAATGTGTTGAGAAATACAGGCATTTTTTGGCCAAAACAATTTTTGCCCCCCTCTAGAAAAAATCCTGGCGACGCCCATCGGAACTTGCACATCCGTGCTGAAATGTCGACACGTTTTCATCGGACAATTTGCCTCCGTAAAATCAAATTGGGGGGGGGGGGGACTGGGGCTGGTAACATCTTCCACAATAGGGGGCGCTCTTCAAAACCGATCATTTTCAGGGCGCATTGTAAAGATTTTGGGGCTCGGTTTTCATATTCCTCGTTCATATCGGAACTTTCTTGACCATTTTTTTTGGGGGGGGGGCAAGTGCCCTCCCCCCCAAAAAAACAAAATGGTATAGAAAGCACTTGCCCCCCCCCCCCCCCCCCCCTGGCCGCGTCCGATGTAAACCAACAGGTTTCTTCAATATTTTCCCCGCAAATGTGATATTATGATACATTTCAATAATGAATTTGACATAAACCTTTGGAATATACCTGTAGTTGGGGAGATCTCTTGACAAACGTGTACCTTCACTCTCACAGATGATCTTAAGTTTGTTCATTCTTTTTTGACAGGTTCAAAGGCCTCATAACTTCCATACCTCCCAGCATACTGCGCGTGCGGAAGACAAGGCCCCACTCACCAACTACGACATGGCTTAGACAGTCTCCAGCTTCGCGTCATTTATTTTCTGGACAATGAACCCTGATACTAGGGGAAGTCCATCCATCATGTTTATTCCGTTTGGCCCAACATTTCACAATGACTGTGTCGTTGTTAAGACATGCATTTTGCAGGTTGCAAAACAGCGATTTAAGAGTCTGCATGCAATTAGTCTGAAGTATTCCAGATATGGTGTACTGGTATTAAATAGCTGCTGTACATTTCAGAACTGAACCCTACGGAAATCTTGAAATGTTGTGTAACGTCTATACATTAGTCTATACTTAACGGGTTTTTTTTCAAAATAAGTGAAAGACTTAAGGAAAAATAGTCTTTTGTTGAAAACTGTACTTACTGATTTATCTGTTATCGGTTTTAAGCACGCTACACGCATTTTTGCTTACTTAACATTAATAGATAAACTATACTCCTAAATGGATCATAAAAGTGCGGACAAAACATCCATTTTTAAATGCAAGTTTTTGGGTTTGAATTAAAATAGCTCTCCGGGTATCAGAATATCAGAATGTTATTAAAGAGACGAATTTTACAGAACTATTTGTTAGCTGTAAAAGTTTTTAAGAAAGTGTATGAATCTCGCATGAAGGGGATTGTAAATAAAGTGTTTGTAGACCTATTTGTATTTTACGAACATATTTCTTATTTTACGCTAATAGCATTAAATGCAGAAAGTTTTGCGCAGAATTATTTGCATTATACTGTCATTGTAGCCCCCTACCCAGTCTTGAACTACTTCAGAAAATGAAGCAAACGTTTATAGTTTAGCTAAAGCTAAAACAGTTTAAAAGTAACTATCTTCATTTCGGCAGTATTTTAGCCAGATCCGGGTTTCTTTTAGCAAACGATATTTAGCCGGAACGGCTTGGTCATGCGTAGTGACTGTTTTTTTTTATTTAGAAATGTTTACCGTAACAAATCTTAGTCTGGTTCCATGCCAACATTGTCGTTGTGACTTCGTATCCACGAGACGGGAATCTGACCATTTACAATTTCTGACTTTATTTCCCAACATTGTCGTCAAGACTTTGTATCAACGAGACGGGAATGTGACCATTCACAATTTCTGACTTTATTTCCCTTTCAAAAAAAAGTCCATCCAAACCAGGAATCAATTTAAAATAATAAATATAAAGAATATTCTATTTTTTTGCTATAAAAAAGAAAATACGAAAATGTCGAAAGAGCTCCACTGATGGGGTATCGAACCCGGGATCTCAAGCTAACATATCAGAACAGAGGCCGGGGGGGGGGGGGGGGGCAGGCACGCCAGATACAGAAAATAACCCCTGCAGAATGTCATCGTTTGTGTTAAACGTGTAAAGGTACCACTGAGGAGACACGTTATCGTAATTTCTTCGCACGATGGGAGACATGGGTCATTAGGGAGACATTTTCATGTCTCCCTAATGTCACAGCCCCCTTTAGAGGCACAACTTTACCGTCGCAATTGGGTTATATTTGTTGCTCGTGGTCTTATTAGTAAACATACCAAAATTCATGGGAAAAGGACAAGGGAATATTGGGTTAGAGCACATTTAAGTTTGAAAAAATTTGTGCACAAGTCTATGAGGATGTCTCCCAAATGTCAAATCCAGGGTAATTATTATTAGTATAATTGTTATCATTTTTTTCTTGGTGGGGGGGGGGGGGGGGGTTTCGACCGCGCCTGCAGATCCATTTTGCTACACTTGCTGCTCGAATGATGGGGGTAATTTAAAGCCCCCATGTAATTTATTTTTCAATTTTCGTTTGCCATTTTCAAGGGTATTTCGGTGCCTTTTTAGTTTTTATGGTAATGCGAATTTCAAAATTCATGAGCAAAAGTGTGATGTCATTTCAGCCAGAAACCTCAATGTTACAGCAATTCTAGCACTAAAAGTTGCAAGAATTTAGGATATTATGCTGCAGTTGTAAATTTTCTTTCCTTTGGCGGTTCCTTGCTATGCCAGTACACAGTGGTAAACCAGTGAGCAAACTTTTCTCACATTTGTTTTCAATGAACACATTTTTTGGGATCACAATATAAACAAAAGAACAGCTGCTTCCTGAAATGATAGCACAGCAACATCCTCCTCAGTTGTCCGGAAAACATGGACATTTTAAATATGTAAAGAAGTGCACTTTTAAATAAAATTATAACCAAAAAAGAATGACATATAGTTTTTTTTCAGAGGAGTAAAAAGTTGCACAAAATATGTTCCTCAAAAAAAAAAATCTTCATGAACCCTTTAATACATTATAATGTAGGCCTACTCATCTATGTATCAAAGAGGGCGCTGTATCTCTCCGGCTTAATCTCGTTTATCAAAAGAAAGCCGGATCCGGCAATATATCCACTATTAAATGTGTCATTTATTAGTAAATGCTTTCCATTAAAAAGCGTTTGCTTCTTGTTTATTCAAAATCATATAATAGAAATGCGAGTAAATGCTCGAAAATTGGTAGAAGGGAAACGCTATTTTTCATACATAGGCCTACGACCAGTATATCTAAAGAATTTTGAAAGAATTTCTTGTTTCTTTTAAAGGATCATAAATGGTGATTATTGGTCAGTAGATGACAATGCTTGTGATGATGATACAAAAATCAACCGAGTTCATCGAAAATAAGCCATAATCGCGAATTGCCATTATTGCCAGGCTGCGTAGTACCGCGCTTTAATGTTATATTTACACGATGATCACGTGCTGTCTAGTTGGCGAATGTCAATAGTCATAGGCACGTGCCTCGCCCTAGACTTGAGGACAAGTCGTTTGTGGTTTGTCGGCGCCCCCAGTATTAAGCACTGTGTATCGTGTTTACTATCATATACTCAGTGGGTCTGGCATGCCTAGCTCGGACGGATATTCATTTATACGCACATCGAAATAAATGCATCACGTTCCGATGGAGCATGGAGGCCAATGATAGCTTTACCTGTACAACTAAGGAAGCATCCATTATTAGAGTAGGGATATCTTTCACTTGATCAGTATGCGTTTCTCTCTCTTTTGTGTGTGTAAAATCCTCATTGGAATATTAAACTCAATTGTATAAATATATCAAAATTACATGTGTCAAATAACCGTTTCCGAATAAATAATGTAATGGAATATCAAACTGCTCAAAATCTCAGCTGTTGACCCCTCAAGGAATGGGACTCGCTTCCGGCTGTACTGCATTCACCACACACAAAACACCTGTGCATGCACGTGACAAAACGCGCAAGTTGTCACTTAATTGTAATATGGATATTCAAATTTTTCTGATTATCTTAACCAATCAGACTGCTCCTTCCAAATCTGGCAGCAATTACCATACGTTTTGTACAAAGTCGAAAACAGATCATTCAAGTCGGAAATTGGAATCCACGTACGTACGCATAAGGGTCGAAGATGCACCAAACCGTCCCCACATGTGCCATACAGCATGGTTTATACAGTTGGACGGCGTGTTATATGCGGTAGCTGTCCGATGCCGGTGCGCCGGCGTTGCGCAAAGGGGGAACAACATCTGGCCAATTACCGACTGATTTCAAGTCTAGCTTCGACTGCACTGCTTAGAGCAAGTGAAAGCACTTGCAATCGCAGTTGCAATCAAAGCACGATCGAAGGAGTCTGCTGTGTCCTGGCGGCTCGATTTATAGTAGATCTACATCCTCAAGGGCTGCACAAGACCGTGACAACCGTCTAACACCGATCGACAAAAAATGGAGAAAATTCAGCTGGGATTCATCCTGTTACTTGCTTTTTTGTGTGCCGGGGTAACGCAAACGACAACTCCTGGTAAGTGCAAACCTATGTCTTTCAGTTTAAAGATAACATTATAAATAATCTTCAGGTTTTAGTTTTCAATTTTCCAGGTCAATATTTTTGTCTTGCACTTTAAGTTTGTTCGTAGGCTATATCCCTGTCAAAGATGCTGCAGTGTAAACGATCTACATACGTGTCCATACTGACTGCCTTGTGCACTGTTGGCCATACACCCATGTGCACTGAGACTAAATCTTGCACGATTTGGAACAGGACGCTATTTTAGAAAATCAGGTATTTTGATTCATTCACAGCGCTCTAAGGTACTTTAGACACACATCAAATTATAAAGCTGGATTTACCATATTTCAAATTCTTTTAGAGTTTTTGGCCTGACCATTATGATGTGGGATGACATTTTATTTGAGTGAGATTGCCGTTTTCAAGGGTATTCTGGTGCCGTATTGTTTTTTAAGCCATTGCGAATGTCCATACTCATGAGCAAAATTGTGATGTCATTTCAGGTAGAACTATTTCAGCACAAATTGCCAAAATTTTTGCTTGTTGTATATTTTCTTTATTGGGTGATTCGTTGTTGTGTCAGTACATGGCAGTAAGCCAATGAGCAAACTTTTCTTACATATTATTTCAATGAGCAAATAATTATTAGGGTTCACAATTTTAACAGAAAACACAGATACTAAACAGTGCCTTCCTGAAATGACACAACAGCAACAGCGCCATCAGTAGTCCGGAAAAGCACGGAAAAGTTAAGTGTCTAAACAAGTGCATTTTCAATACAATTAACCAAAAAGGGATGTCAAAATATGAGATGACTAGAAATTTGCACAAATTATGTTTCTATGAAAAAAATCATTGCATGAACCCTTTAAAAACAGAGATTGTCCACGCTGTTGCAACCTTGTGGCCGAATTTTATCAAATTGTCTAAAAAATACAGGCCTCAACCACAGCCCTGTTCAGAGGGTGATATACCGGCAGCCATTTGCACATCCTTTAGCTCAAGTAACTTTGATCTTGGAGTGCAGACAACCGGAAGTCTGTTGTCAGCTGTGAGATCATGGGGTCAAAGATCAAGTACACAAGTACATACGATCATGATCGCGGTATTTTATACTGGCTGTTGGTGACTTCCTGCCAAAAAAAACACGACATTATTATCATGCTTTCGTAAAAAGTACCCGGATGATTGAACTATCATGTCAGTAAAAGTACCCGGAAGAGGAAAACATTATTTTGATATTGTCCTCATCCGGGCATGTTACATATTTCGCTGGTTCCTGCAAAATCAAGAGCGTACAAAGTCACAGTGGTCAACCAGCCAACAGAGCCCCTGTCGCCCGCGCACGCAACGCGCAGCATGCAGAATGTGTAACCGAAGACATTTCTACGAAATTATTTCAGAACACAATCTTTTTTGTCTGTAATATTGAGAAATCAATGTAGTGTCATGAAATGTATTTCTTTCAGATCAAGTCAGCTTGATATAAATAATAATAAATGTTTAAATTTGGACATGTTTAGCTTAAGCATTTAAACGACTTCAGTTGTGTAGGTTATAGGTTTCCAGAAAGTAACTGCATATTTACAGAATCATTTACAGAAGCCAGATGACTTTGATATTGCTAGGATTTAAATTATTTTATCTGACTTTTAGAGTATAATGTACATGTACATGTACGATAGGCCTAACCTACTACACTTCTGGTTAGAATTTGTCGTGGTTTAGCTTTATATGCAGCTCTTCCCGCCATGATGAAGTCACGGTTTCACCATGAATGACAAATTTAAATACGACAAGCGATTTAATGCGATTTTCACTTATGTTTGCAAAATTCGAAATTCTATCATGGATTCGTTTGATTAATGACACATTTCGGTCAAGAAAATGCATTTTTGGACAGAACACTACAAGTTAACTTGACCTTTGATC